AAACCAGAGGTGATGTCTTCATTATAGACCACCTTTCCTCCCACTGGTGAATGAATCAAACTTTTCTGACAACTAGCAGTTGTTTTCACACAGAAATATTGGGAAAAGGAACATTTTTAGCTGATTTTCAATGCAATTTAATAGTTTAAAAACAAGGGCTCATATCATCTAAGCAGGTCTCAGTGAATCAAATTGAGAACTACTTCTGAAACTGGTAACTGTTCAGAGAATTGAGTACATAATTAAATCAATTATTTTGCAGGTCGTGGCAGTGGAAATAGTGGTGGATACTATGGGCAAGGCAGTATGGGTGGAGGTGGATGGCGTGGAATGTACTGAAGAGTGACCTTGCTTCTACAAAATATCCTGGAAGAAACAGTATCTGGTCTACTAGACTTTCTTACAAAATTTAATTTCTTTTGTATTTTAAGAACTTTATAATGACTGAAGGAATGTGTTTTCACAATATTATTTGGTAAGCAACAGATTGTGATGGGGAAATCTGTTTTCTGTAGGTTTTATTTGTTGCATACTCTGACTTTAAATAAATTTTTATATTCAAACCACTGATGTTGATACTTTTTATACTAGCTACTCCTAAGGATGTATTGCATATTCAAGAATGCATTTGGTTAAGATGTACTATTGGTTTATTAAAGGTGGTTGTACTGTAACACTGATTCAGTTCTCTGTAAACATGGTATAATTGAATCTTAGATTAAAGATACACTTGTTAAAAGGAATAAGATAGAAAAGTAGATTAGTTTGGTTTTGGTTACAACCTATTCTAAATTGTCTTTCAAGTATATACTATTAAAAAAAATCCCACAACAAAATACTAAGTTACAGGTACGGAGGCTAAAAGTTACAAATTTGGCTTCCTTGTTTTTCATGTCAAAAGCACTATCTTCAAATGCACAACTGTATAGGTTGGTTGGTGTCTGATCTGTGTGTCCATAAGAACGGGCAACTCAGTTCCTCAGTTTGCTGATCCTTGCACTAATATCGAGCAAGTTTCACATTTACTGATAAATCTTCATGTCTTTATACTTACAAACCAATTTGTCTTGTTAGTAATGGTTGAAGGTAATTTAACTAAAGTTTCCTTTTCCATATGAACACGACACAAAAATAAATGGGACAGAGTACTAGTTACGTTAAACTATATCTGGTTTTAATATACTTAATATCCAAAACATGTCAGAATATTAAATGGCATTAAGTCAAATTGTGCACGGGTCTCATTTTCCTGAGTCTGTTCAGAAAAGAAAATACAAGTAGTTTTGCTGCTGAATAGCTGCTAATAGCCTGCATCTATTCAAAATTTGGCAGTTGCTTTTTTACTGAAGAAAGGATTCATCATTTTAGGGAGTTATTTGGCATCCAAATACCCCTTCAAATGAAAGCAAACATATAAGACCAATACTTGTCAAAATACTTTCACACAACCCAACCACATCTTGGTAATGTTTTTGTGCATTTGTGACATGTAAGATGTTTGGAACCATGTTGTTTGAAGACACTAACATACATGATGTATAATGAAGAAAAAGGTATTTCATAATTCTCAGCCACCGTGCTCTTCCAAATTTTAACTGCTTGTCCTTAAATGCCTCCCTCTAATTTGTCAAATGTGCTCTTGGTTATTGAAAGTTTGTCACCTGTTTTTGCAAGTAATGTGTTTGTAATAAATGTGTTATTGTGGGAGACAATAGAATGGAGTTTATTTTGCTAGGAAGTGTGTGTGTCAAATTAGCTTGAGGTCTACAAAACATCTGAGAGAATTAAAATGGGAGTGTCTTGTTCAGTGTAGCTACAGCTGCAATAGTATTAATCTTTTCCACTCCTCCCCTCAACTTCTTCCTTATAGAGCAGGCCCTATGATATGAAAAACCACAGCTGAATCTGTGTTTTTGATATGGACAGCAGATCTCTTGAGTCACAACCCATCTGAAACTTGTGCCCTAGACTTTTTGAGGGTGTGGTGAGGTCAAACTTTAAGTGCTGAGTGGCTGCAATCAAAGTGGTCTGGGTGAGGAAAAGGCATGCTAGTTAGATACTGGAAAAAGGGAAAGGTGCTTTGTTTGATCCTGAATATTCTAGACCAGCAGTTCTCAAACTGTGGGTTGCAACTCTATTTTAGTGGGGTTGCTAGGGCTGGTTTAGACTTGCTGGGGCCCAGGGCCAGAACTGAAGCCTGAGCCCCACTGCCAGGGGCTGCAGTTGAAGCCTGAGGGCTTTGGCCCTGGGCAGTGAGGCTCAGGTTACAGGCCCCCTCCCTGGGGCTGAAGCCCTTTGGCTTTGGCCTCCTCGCCCAGGGCAGTGGGGCTTGGGCAGGCTAAGTCTTTAGTTCCCCACTCCTGGGGCCACATAATCATTTTTGTTGTCAGAAGGGAGTCGCAGTGCAATGAAGTTTGAGAACCCCTCTTCTAGACTGAAGTGAACTTCATCTGTTGACATAATGCCTTCCTTATACTGAAAATAGTAGTAGCATAGGACTGAACTAAACTGCACCACTCCATTAGATGGGCTTTCTGCTATCTTTTTATTGAGGGGGAGAGCCATTTAGGATAAAGCTAAGTAAGCTTCCCTCAGTCATAAGTAGAAAAGCTGGATGTGTCTAGTTCTGGGTTTGGACAAATATGCCTATAACTAAGGCCCTCTTTAAATCATAATTTCAGGGATATGGGAATTGTGAAAATACCCCCCCCAACTACCCCTTTTTAATATTTGTCCCTTGAAACTAAATTTAATTGTAAAATTCCTTCAGTGCAAATTCAATACTTTGCCCTTTAGTCATGAATGTTTTTTTTTTTTTTTTTTAATCTTGATTTACACAGGGCTCTAGCTATAACTATTGCACATGCAGTGAAAGAGACCTGTTGAAAATTAGGTGCGTACATGTCAAATAGCTGAAGTTGTGCATCTCCTTGCCTCATTCCTAGCTTCTGAAACATGGTGGATAGCTCTTATAGAAATCTACTTAGAGTTTTTTCATACAACTTGTTGCACTCTGACCTAACTCTTATGTAAAAGGTCCAGCTGCCAAAAGTAAGTGCATTCTGTTACATTGCGGTAGCAAATGGTGTCTTTTGTGATATGAGGGAATGGAATGAGATCAACGCATTGCAATCTACCTGGCCTATTTTCAGTCAGTGGGTCACTACCATCTGATACTGAACTAGAACTGCTTATCTGAAGTTTATCTGAAGATAAGTTATTAAAGTGAGTAGAAATAAATACACAAGGTGGGTGAGCTAGTATCTTTTATTGGGCCATTGTCTGTTGGTGACAGATAAGCTTTCAGGCACACACAGCTCTTCCTCAGGTCTGGGAAATGACTTACAGCCTTTCACATTATGCCAATAGGTTCAATGTTAAATCTGAAATATCGCTCTAAGGGATAAACAGATTTCAAATAGAAAAGCTACACCATCTCTTCCATGATGTTAAGCCTCACAGCAAGGGGCAACCTATAACGTTAATAGATCAGGTGGAAAGGCCGAGCATTGGCAAGTGACCTGATCGCATTCAAGTACAGAGGGCTATAAACATGGGCAGCAGCTCTCCATCCTTAGCTAGTTTTAGTAGGTAGTAAAAGGGAGAAAGAAAAAGATACAACTTTTTGGTCAAAATTATCTTGCAGAACCAGTTACTTAACAAGGTAAGTAACTGCTCTTTACTCAAAGCCATCCAGAAAAAGAAAAAGGCATCACAAAAATGTAGGGCTGGAAGGGACCTCAAGAAGGCATCAAGTGCAGCTCCCTACACTGCAGCAGGACCAAGTAAACCTATTAAGATGGATTTCTAATGTTTGAGATGGTGTTATCCACATGCTATTTTAGTATAGTCCAAAATCAGGGCAGCATGGGTTGAGCAACATAAAGAGGGTAGTGGTTTTATCTATTTATAAAGAAATGGATAATACTGCACTTTCCTACTTATAGCGCTCTAAGAGACTAGTTTGTGCTATAAACTTTTTCTCCCCTACAAAAATAAGGAAACCTTAAAGTTTCAGTTATAGAGGTTTAAGCAGGAAGGCAGTGCAGTAATTAAGCAATATTGAAATTTTAGTAAGATAAAATAAAGTATGTAAGAATTTACATTAGTTTCCAATTTATTTGATTACATCTCTATAAAAAATTAGATTTAAAATTTTTATTAAAGCTAATGTTAGTTAATACATAGGTTGAGGAAAGAGTGTCTGTACATGTGGGTATAGTGCTTAGATTATCTACAATACGTTTGTTTTTAAAGTCATAAGATCTAGTGCATAATCAGCAATAATCCAAATTGAGGTGAATGAATTTAAAGAATACAGTTTAGATATCTAGCATCCATGCACTTGGGTACATTACTCATGAAAAAAAGTTATACAGAGTTGGTAGCAGAAAGAAAAATATATAGAGTGAAGATTGTCCCTCAGTAATTGAAAATTTAGGATAGGTTCATTTAGAGAGAGAAAAAAAAGTCCATGAGGGAAGTATGTTACTTTCCTGACTGCTTCTCATCGGCACTCCAGCTCATCCCTCCTGGTATTGCTGATGTCCAGTAGTGTATTCTATGTAAATACCCCTTGACCACCTGATGGCGTCTGACGACATGAGTTGCCGCATCAGCCAAGCGTAGTGTTGACCGACTCCACGTTCTCTCACCACTGGCTCGTTAGTGGGGTTCCATGTGCCCAGGGCTCCAACGATCAGCGCATGAATTTGGACCTCATAGCTCCTAGCTCTCAGGGTATCAGCCAGAGGGGTGTATTTCTCCAGCTTTTGAGATCAGGCGTCATGGAAAGCTGGGGTACTACTAAACCAGTGCAAATCTACATACTAGGCCAAATCCTGCTCACTTTATTCACACAGTCCCACTGCTGGGTAGTACCTCCAGGAATAAAGTGAGCAGCATTTAGCCCATTGTGTGACGCAATATTAAGACAAAGTATTTTAATAGTGGAAACTGTCAAGTGTTCAAAATACTTAAATAATAGCTTATGTGCACAGTTTGGTTATGTCATTTTATTTCTTCAAACAAATTACATGTTTACAAACATTTGCATTATTTTAATTTACAAAACTCTCAAAATCTTAAAAAAAATTCTTTACAAAAGCTACATAAGCAATTACAATTAAATTCTTGGCATGATCAGTAGAACATTAATTGCATGACTACTCTCAAAAGCTACAGCTAAGCTTTTTATGTGCAAGAATGATTTATGAAGCTGAGTCAAAAAATGGAATTATTTCAAAACCATCTTGCTCCTATAATAGGAGCAATCCAAGCCTGTGGATAAAGGAAATAATTGGGCTGATAACTCTTCGGGTTTCCACTGGCCAGTGCAGATTTGGGGGAAAGAAGAACAAAATTAGAGCTAGAATAACAAATGCCTGGGTCAAATGGAAAGAGATAGGAAGTTACCAGTAAGCTTAAAAGAGAAGTCTAGAAAACAGTGGTTCATCCAGTTTTAGTGTATGACACTTGAGTGTTGAGCAACAGCACTGTTCCACAGAAATGCAAATCTTGAGATGGATGAGTGGTGTAAACAAGAAAGACCTGGTGGGGAATGTCTTGTTAAGAGACATGTTCATAGTAACACTGATAGATTAAAAAAAAAAGAGGGGGTGAAGGCTTGGCCATGTAAAGTGCAGTCCTGACAACTATGAGAGTCCAAGAGATCAAGGGAAAAAGAGAGGCTGACCCAAGAAGTGCTGGGAAGTCATAAAGGAAGACATGCCAGTATGTGGTGTGATAAAGGATATGGCATTGAACTGAGCTCTTTGGAGGGAGAGGACTTGGAGAACAGGACCCTATTTGATAGGATTAACACAAAAGAAGTGCAGATTTAGGAGTAAATTCTGCAGTTGGAGCCCAATCCCACAATGAACTCAGTGTGCAAAGCTTATTGCAGGATTGGGGCATTCATATGGAAGAAAGAAGCTTTATTCTGACAGAGTGGGTTTTCATTTGTTTTGTTTTTTTCAAACTGGTCAAAAGTTTGGATTGTTAGTCGTCCCAGTAGAAATAGGTGAGCAGAGTTCAGGTGAGGTGTATGCTAAATGCAACTTATAGAGATGTTATCCCATGTAATAATTGCTCGGTGTATTGTTATTTAACTGATATCAACCACTACAGGAATAGGTACACGTGATCTAGTAGCAGACAGTTGCCATGCAATATCCATTTTTAAAAAGGGCAGGATGTATCATGTCATGTCACGCTGACTCAAACCCTCTCACTCACACAGCCTGAGTTCTGCAGGTTTGAGAGGTGATGGGAAGGGAGAATTTTCCCCTCTCACCAAGGAGCAGAACAGCTTTGTGGCCCCATATTGTCCATGACTGCAGACTTTACCATACAATTACACATCTTTAATAAATATTCTAACACTTACAGTTGCAAAGAACTTGAAAATGCAACACAAGTGTAACTGATGTAGTGATATCTGCCTACTTTTGCACAGCCTGAAACAACTTTGAGATGTGAACTTTCCTATTCATTTACATGGCTCTGAAACCTAGAGATGACAAATATTTCACTTGTTGACATTTAAATTGTTGATTACTTTAGAAGGAACATTTGCAAATGTTCTTCGAACCATCTCAGACTGTCTCCCACACCCACCCAGGTGCTAAAAGGCCCAAGTGTTTCTTGGGTAGCTGGCAAAATCTCCAGCTTTGCTCTGGACAGCATCTACAATACAGTTATGTGGTCAGTGCAAAAAAAATTTTGGCATGTCAATAACTCAAAATGAAGGGAAACATAAGAAATAATATTAAAATAAACAGTCTACTGATTATACTCTTCATTTTCATATTTAATTAAAAATCTCAATTTTTTACTTTTAAGACACCTACCACAACGAAGGGTCACTGAATGCAGGAATTTTGCTGCAAAATTTAGCTTACTACAGAGCACAAATAGCTTTTGCTAGAACAGCCTGCAGGCTGCTGTAAGCACAGTAATTATTGCATCTCTCTTTACTGAGGCCTAGCCAATAGTTCAGTGAAGTCACAATCATTAGCCTCAACACCACACTGTTGGATTTCCTCTCACTCCCAACCCTCATCCATTCTTCTCCCCCGCCACATGCAGTGGAACCACTTATTCTATACACCCATAGGGGCAGAATCTGCACCTAAACAAGTCCATTCTGTCTGTCTTTTGTACTGTACATCATTTTGACATGAAGAGTTTATCTGTGCATGTGGCATTCAAAGGGTTTGCACTTAGGATTGATGTAAACAACCCATTAAGGCATTAACAGAAGTTCATAAGTCTGCTGCGGAGGTTTCAGTAGGAGTTCACATCAGGTACTAGAGCAGGCGTGGGCAAACTGTGGGCCAGATCCAGCCCGTGGGACTGCCCCCCATGGCTCTGCAGGCCCGGCGCCGCTCTCAGAAGCGGACCCCGGGCAGGGGGGCAGAGGGCTCCGTGTGCGTTGCCCTTGCCTCCAGGCACCGCCCCCCGCAGCTCCCATTGGCTGGGAATGGGGAACTGCGGCCAATGGGAGCTTCCAGGGAGGTACCTGGAGACGTGGCAAGGGCAGTGCACGCAGAGCCCTCCGCCCTCCCTCCCCCAGGGGCTGCAGCGCTTCCTGGAGCGGCACGGGGCCGGGGACAGGGTAGGCAGGCAGGCAGGGAGCCTGCCCTGGCCCCAGTGTGCGCTGCTGTCACCCCGGAGCCGCTTTAGGTAAGTGACGCTGAGCTGGAGCTTGAACCCCTCCTGCACCCCGCCCCCCAACTCCCTGCCCTGAGCCCCTTGTACACACCGCACCCCTCCTGCACCCCAACCCCTGCCGAGCCCCCTCCCACAGTCCGCACCCCTGCCCTGAGCCCCTCCCGCACTCCCTCCCGCACACCAACCCCCTGCCCTGCATACAATTTCCCCACCCAGATGTGGCCCTCGGCCCAAAAAGTTTGCCCATCCCTGTACTAGAGCCAGATTCTCAAATAGATGACTGACAAAGCTAAGGAGGGGTGTCAGCAAGAACTATTACCAGCTCCCTGATCCCCGTGCTACATCAGTCTTTGATGTAGTATACCCTTCACTTTGGTGTAGGTGAGAGCAAAGCCCTGGGCTGTTCAGGCAGACAGAGAATGACAGAGTTAGGGTGCTTTGGTCACACTCCCTAGGTTGAGGGCTGTCATATAGCTCATTATACTGGCCATATGGTTTATTGACCCTTGGCATTGGTAGACTGATGCGAAAGGGCTATAACATGCTGGAGAATCTGGCCTATTGACTGTAAAGACTCTTTGTAACAAAAAGACCAATTTAAAAAAAAAAAAATTCTGATGAATATCAATAAATCCAGTTTAGTGCTGCTCCTCCTAATACCAAAACAATACTCCTCTAAGAATTTCTATTGTACAAATACTTTACTATCAGTGCAAATGTACTAATCCAAACCTAGACAATGCACTACATTTTTCTGTCTAGAAATGGTTACTGTAAATTTAAAAATGTTGACACAGTTCAGATCTCACCTCTTTATTTTGCTCCCAGAATGGACTCTGTTTTCACACAACTCAAGATATCCACTCTACCTTAGGTAAGATCAGAACAGAAACTTCTCTATTAGATTCAAAGAAGTTTCTAATTATCAAATTTGAAGTTCTGAAAAATCAAGGAAAAGGTCTTAGTGCTATAAGAACTGCACACACAAAGCATACAAAAAAGCATTAAGGTCCCATGGTTAAGCACTCAAACAAATATCAGGATATGACAAAGTTAAGGGTTCACATTCAACCCTAATTCTCCCCTTTGTTTGTATGCATTGATACAGACTAATTACATACCATTTTTACAGAGCTACTTGTCAAAGTAGAAATGCAGTCTAAGGAGTGTTGTGCATGTAGTCCAGGTCAGCTTGCCTATACAAAACACTAGTCAACCCCTCAGAGGGAACAGGAGGAGCCGTCGCCTCTGCACCCTATTAACATTGCAGCTACACAAAGCTCTGGGCTGGTGAAGTTCTTAAGCTCCTCAGGAGCACAGCATCTCATCAGCCAGAGCCTTCCCCCAATGGAGAATGCCTAAGTCTAAAGGAAGGGGCTAGTGATTTTTCAAACACTCATTTGGTCAAATCAAACCCATTTTGCTCCAGAACAATATTCTGTACAGCTTCAATTATGACTATTTCCTTTCCATATTTCACCTTTCTCACCTGAAAAAACCTTGCAATTTTTCTTCTAAATTGAAAAAGTATTTCCCCACCTCCACTATCCTCATAGTGAAAACAGGCCAAACTGTTCCTTGCTAAAAAAGTTTCCATAACAAAATTCATTTTAAGCAGATATCGAGTCTGGAAAATTTTAGTTCAAAAGGTGAGTATGAAAAAGTTACAACCAGTGAAAACAGGGAGTTAGAACAGAAGATGTTATGCAACCTAATTATAGTTGTCACTGCCAAGTGGCAGCTAAAACAGATGATCAACCTATTAACACAAGGCATGTCCTGCTTAGTATTGGGCTATGTCTACACTACTGCAGTAAATCGCCTAGGTTACGCTATTCCAGCCATGTGAATAACGTAGCTAGAGTCGACGTAGCTTAGGTTCACTTACTGTGGTGTCTACATCGCATTGCATCGACAGGAGACACTCTCCCGTCGACTTACCTTACTCCTCTTGTTCCCGGTGGAGTACCAGAGTCGACCAGAGAGCACTCTGCCGTTGATTTAGCGGGTCTTCACTAGACGCACTAAATCGCTCCCCCGGTGCATCGACTGCAGCACCGTCAAACCAATGGTAGTGTAGACATAGCCTTACAACTCTATTCTCTCTCATTTATTTAGATAGGCTTCTTTTAAACAAGTAGTAATACTGGGCTTTAAAACCTTTAATATAAAAGAGTTATAGCCTCGTAATTCAGTTGCTCCTTCATTTAATATTTTTCAACTAAATGGAATCACTCCTGGAAGTTGATTGGCTAAAACATGTTACTAACTCACTACTGAAATTTGCAGTTAGACCACGATTAGTGTATATTTTATTGAAATGTTTAGCTTTTAAAGCATTTTATCTTGATGTAAACATATTCTGCAGTTGGTAGCAGGAACAGAAGGATGTTTATGCACTAATTCAATATTAAGCCTCTAAAGTATTATAATGTAAACTAGGGGATGAAATGTTAAAAATCAGATAGAATACTGCTAAAAAAAATTGGATTTTTCCTTTTTTCGCCACTGAATAATTAAAAGTAAATAAAACATTCTTATATCCTGTAAACATTATGAAAAGAAAAACTTTACTGTAGTGCCTCAGTTGGAATATGACCTAAAAGAGCACAAAATATATTTAATTTACATTTATGGAATCATTTCCTCCTAAAGATGATTTTTCAATGTAATTAACATATTCCCGTTTATCTCAGAAATCTGAAGATCAAAAGTATTAAAAAACAGGCACAATAATGAAACAGTGTTTTGAGTGTGAAGCGGTGATTTTTTTCTAATGTAATATGGCAAATACATAATGTACACTTATGACTAATCTAAATTTAAAATTCTGTCCTCAGATATGCATATGGAACTTCCATTGACATCAATGGAAGTTGTTTGCATATATCTGAGAGTAATTTCGGCCATTATAAGGGTATATTTTCTCCTAAAATAATAGCCCAGTTTTTTTAAAATAAGTAGATAACTAAAAATAAGGGAAATGTTAACTGTGTAAATACTTATGCTTAATTAAACAAGACTGATTTAATATATTTTACAAAATTGTTTAATTAGCCTGCACGTTTATTCAAATTCCCACTGTCTGTGTTTGGGTAGAAAAGGGAATAGGTTCCTGTCAAACTTTTGTTCAATGTCTTTTAAATACCATTACATGAACTCTGTTGAAGAAAAACTTCAATATGAAATACTCTCTCCATTAAAACTATATAAAACCTTTTATTCCTTTGCTGCCTGTTGAGTGCAACAAACAGAATCAAATATTAAAGGCTGGGATCTGTAAAGGAGCGCAAGGGTGCTAGACACCCGTTTCTCATTAAGTTTCAATAGGAGCTGGATATCTAACTCCCTTAGGCCACGTCTACACAACAAACCAGAGCGGTCAGTGTTGGGCATTATGGGACAGCTGCTGGAGGACTGTTAGAGTCGACATGGGCAACGCAGCATCTACACTCATGATGCATTGACCATGGCTCAACGCTGCTTGGGAAGGTGGTGTTACTATGTCAGCATAACAGGCCGCTTACATCAGTAGGAGACTAAGTGTAGACACATGCACAACTAGGTAAACACAAGGTGGCTTACATCAACCTAACTTTGTAGTGTAGACCAGGTCTTAGTATGTTTTGAAAATCCAAATCTAAACCTGTATTCCAGGAATATACATGTTAATACTTTACATTATATCTTTTTATATAATATGTTAAATAGCAATAGTTCATAAATATTTTGTAGAGGAATTCTATGGCATGTTAGAAGAGCATCTCTGTATAAGAAATGCATGGCAGGAATCACAGACTCGTACAGGCTTTGGCGAGGATGGTAGAGGCAGTTCGTTGTCAGAACAGGCGTTACAGAAAATTTCACCACAGTTTCTACAATGATGCTAAATAAAGATGGAAAAACCAAAGGATATTTTAAATTGAATACAGAAAGTGTGTTATACATTTGATAATCAGCGGTCATAACAAATACAGAAACAGAACTCTTTGAAATTAAACTTTTAAATTCTAGGTAAGAAGTGTGATGGCTGTTTTGTAAAGATGACAGGACAACACATGAAAAACCCCAATCTGTAATGCTTTTCTAGACAGGCTACCAATCTATGAACCCCCTATTTTTTTTTCTGACCTAAGTGAAGTATAACTAAAATTACCAAAATCAAATGAAAAGGCACTATAAATAATGTTACCACTAACTGGGGCTTGAGTTTGCTCTTCAAGACCCATGCATGCAGTATCATGTATGCTGTAAAATAACATGCTAGAAATGTCTTGAATTACATTTGTAGAAGCCAAATATGGGTTTGATTTGAAAATGAAATGATCTGTCCAGAATCTCATCTAGTAGCTAAAAGGATTTAAAATAAAAAAAATAAAATGATTGAGATAATTTAATTTCAGAAGCAGTTAAAGCACATGCCCAAATACAACCTTCTTCAAGCTGTTTTAATATTCATATTCATTCAAAATATTCATTCATATTTTCTTAGTCTCTTGTATAAATATGCATTGCAAACACTGTTTAAATATGACACACATGCATATCACCAACTGTAATAATTTACTTGAGACAGTAACAGATCTCAGTGCACTTAAAAAGTTACTTAAAAGGTCTGATCCTACAAGGTGCATTGCACAGACAAACCCCTGAAGTCATGAGTGGGGCTCTGTGCAGGCAGAGGGATCTGCCCACATGGAGCACCTTGTAGAATCAGGGCCCATGTGTGTATGTACACAACAAACACAGACGGAGACGTTCAAATATAAGCATTTTAGGACATGTCCCTAAAATAACTATGTATTAATTCACATGTGAGAGTCTCTGCTGTACCTCTAAGAGTAGTAAATTGAATGTTCTTTACATATGACATTTAAAGACTGGGAATTGATATAGATCTCTACCCAATCTTACCTTCCTTTTGGAAAGAGAAAATTCCTTTTCACATAACTTGCAGTGTGTAGCTTCTTTGTCTTTCAGCCAAACCTGTCCCTGGAGGGGAGGGGAGAAGAGGAGAGGAAAAGTTTTTTCAAAGATCACAAAATATTTGTGACACATCCAAACTTTGGGGCTCTTGTGGACAGGAGTGCTCAACAGAAGCACTATTCTTTATTAATTTTATTACAGTAGCATTTGGAGTTGTACCACCATCATGCCAACTGAGATCAGTGTCCCAATGCATGAGGCACTGTATAAACACATGAAAGACATAAGAGATGGAGCCTGCCCCAAAAGAATTTGCACAGGCTGTGACAGTCTGTACCTAATGTTCACTCTTTTTTACAAAACTATGATAAATTTTGTACAAAGTATGCCTTGTGAGGTATCATTTGAAAACTCAATCTGCTGATCATTATTGTCCGGGTAAAATATGTGTGGCAACATTGTATGTAAAGTTGTAAGAGTTTACTGTATAACATTGTTCTGACATGTTCCAAGGTTAGAAAAGCTGGCTCAAACCACTTCTTCAGAGACAAAGACACTCTGACGTCCGACCAGGTATCAACATAATCAAATGGATTATCATAAACTAACACCTAGTTAAGTGGCCATTCTTCAGTATGAAGAAGAGTGTTAAGCAAGAACTTTACATATTGACAATAGGGGTCAACTGTGGTTCCTGTATAAACAGACGGTCACTTAAACCCCAGCTGGAAATAATCCTCAAGGAGGGGAGAATGGTATAAGAACAGAGAAGACACACACCACAAATTACCTCTCCCCTCATCTCTACTCATGACATAAACAATATTTGAAAAACAAAGGAAGAATAATTGAATCGGGGGAGGTCCTGGCTGAAGCAATCCAGCCAGACTGCTGTAAGCATATGGTGAGAAAACTCTTTTTGCTTTTAAGTACACTTAGCTTGTTAAGTTCTGTATTAGTTTGCATTTTACCTTTTATTTCCTTTTTGTAACCAATTCTGACTTTTATGCCTCATTACTTGCAATAACTTAAAATCTATCTTTCTGTAGTTAATAAACTTGTTTTATCTAAACCAGTGTGTGTTTGTATTGAAGCGTTGGGAATCTCTACTTGAGATAACAAGGTTTGTGCGTATCATTTTCCACCGATGAAATCAGGGACCTTATATGAGCTTGCATTGTCCAATAGAGAGCTGGACAATACAAGACACACATTTCTGGGGGAAGGTCTGGGACTGGGAAGTTGGTGGTGTTGCCCTGTATGTAATTCATGAGTGAGTGGCCAAAGCATTCATGTAATTCAACTGGGAGCGATTTTACATGTTTTAGAGGCTGTGCGAGAGCAGGACCACGAGTGGTTGCTCTTACAGCAAAGAATTGTAAAAGGCACCCCAACTTGGAGATTTGAGGGAACACAGCTGTTCAACAGTCCAGATTGTACCCTGGGTAATGTCACACAAGCTAAATAAACAAGAGGAATAAAGAGTGGGAGGAGGAGGACAGGTTACTCATCTTGTGCAGTAATTGGAGTTCTTTGCAACGTGTGTCCCTGTGGTGCTCCACTTTAGGTGCGCATGCACCCCCCGTGCCTTCGATCAGAGATTTTTGATAGCAGTGCCTATGTGGCCCACACAAGCACCATACACATCCTCATGCCCCATACTGAAGCTATGTAGGTCTGCGCAGGTGAACTGCCCTCAGTTCCTTCTCTACTGCAAAGCCCACAGAGGCAGCTCTGAAGCAAAGGGGAGGAAGGCAGGTAGTGAAACACACACACAGGGGGACACATCTCAAAGAACTCCAGTTATTGCACAAAGTGAATAACCTCTGCTCCTTCTTTGAGTAGTATCCCTGTTGGTGCGTCACTTTAGATGACTCCCTAGCAGTAACCCTTTAAGAAGGTGGGAGTTTCAGAACAGAGTTCATCACTGAAGAAAGAACTGTGTTGCCTACTGACACATCTGATCTTGCAGCGTGAATTAGGGCATAGTGATCGGAAAATGTGTGCACCAAGGACCTTGTTGCAGTCCCACAAATTTTAGCAACTGGAATATCTTTGAGTCTGACTACAGTTGTAGATCTAGTAGAGTGTACAGTCACTCTTAGGGGAAGTGTATTTTGAGTAAAATCATAACAGGCAATAATACATTCAGAGACCCATTTAAAAAGTCCCTGAGTAGAAACAGGCACTCCCTTAGATCAATCTGAAACAGAAACAAAAATAATCTAAGGGGTCTTCCTGAATGGCCTAGTTCTGTTCAAGGAAAAGGCTTACACCCTCAAAGTCCAGTGTATGAAAGACAGACTACTTTGTAGGCTGATGCAGCTTAAGAAAAAAACCTGGAGGGTGAGTAGCTTGGTTGATATAAAACCCAGAGGACACCTTAGATAAGAACTTTGGATGAGGTTGTAAAGATACATTCTTCTTGGAAAACACAGTAAAAGGAGGATCTGCCATTAGAGTCCCCATCTCCCCAACCCTTTGAGCAGAGGTGATGGCCACCAAGAAGGCAGTCTTCAAAGAGAGATGTAGCAGCAAGCACAAAGGGTTGTTTCATGAGGCAATTAAGAACCAGGTCAAGATCTCACAAGTGGCATAGGGGCTCTAAACTGAGGAAAAAAAATGATAAATCCTTTTAGGAATCTTGTTGTGGTCTGATTAGTGAATACTGAGAAACCTTCTAGCACATGTAAAGCTGTCATTGCCACTAAATGAAGCTTGCCAAAAAAAAAAAAAAAATTCAGGCCTTTCCATGAGTTCTAGCTCCAACAAGTAGTCCAGGATTGAAGAAAAAGATGAGTGGGTCGGAGAAAGATGGTAAGTGTGTCTAGTAGATTACTTTCTGCTATTTAATGGTATCTTTGTTTTCCAATGGACATGTGATCTCTTGTCCTGAAAACTACTGAGGAACCAAGCTTGCAGTTGCAGGACATTTGGATTAGAGTGAATCATCTGACCTGGATCCTGAGACAACCATCAAGATATGATCAGGAGCTGCCACAGAGGGCGAGAGGTGAGTTTGATGAGGTTGGGGAACCAAACTTGGCTTGGCCAAGTTTGTGCAGTCAGAATGACTTTGGCCTGGTCTACACTAACCCCCCCACTTCGGACTAAGGTACGCAAATTCAGCTACGTTAATAACGTAGCTGAATTCGAAGTACCTTAGTCCGAAGTTACCGCGGTCCAGACGCGGCAGGAAGGCTCCCCCGTCGATGCTGCGTACTCCGCTCGCCGAGCTGGAGTACCAGCGTCGACGGCGAGCACTTCCGGGATCGATCCGGGGCACTTCCGGGATCGATTTATCGCGTCTTAACCAGACGCGATAAATCGAACTCAGAAAACCGATTGCTTACATCCGGACTCGGATGTAAGTGAAGACGTACCCTTTGGCTTGGTCCTGTCTGATCTTGATAAGGACCTTTAAGAGCAATGGAATTGGAGGATATGCATAAAAAAGATCTTTGGTCCATGTAACGAGGAAAGAGTCTCCTTGAGATTGGGGACTGAATCCTCCTCTGGAACAGAATTTCTTGCACTTTGTTTTGGTTGCTGTGTCAAAAAAGTCAACCTCTGGAAATCCCCAAACTAGGAATATTTTGCTGAGGACTCCAGAGTCTAACTCCCATTCAAAATTTATGGAGAAACCTCTGCTCAGGTTGTCCACCATGGTATTTTGTATCCTCAGGAGGTAAGAAGCCAAGATGACTATCCAACTGGTGATGCACCAGTTCCAAAGCTTTATCTCTTTGGCACAGAGTGAGGAGGGAAATCCTCTGACTTGATGATTGATATAGTTCATGCACGCTATGCTGTCTGTCAAGATCTTGATGGACTTGTTTCTGAGCAGGGAAAAAAGTGGAGGTGAACATTTCTGATCGCACTTCATTCAAACAGATGGATGTGCAAGCCCTGTTCCTTTTGTGATCACTTGCCTTGGACTGTGTGAGGACCCAAATGTGCTCCCCATTCCAAGAGGGAAGCATCCAATGTTAATATAACTGTAAGGTGTTTCTGGCTGAACAGTATTCCTGCACAAACTTTGCAATGATTCAGCCACCAGGTGAGTGACTGTAGGATCTATTTAAGTACCAATACCTGCTTATTCAAACCATGTTTGTTGGGTACACAAACAGTCCTGAGCCATCCCTGGAGACATTGAAGATATAACCTGGTGTTGTGTGTCACAAAATGCAAGCCACCATGTGTCCCAGCAGTTGCAGACATGTCCTTGCTGGAACCTGAGGGCTGAGCTGCACTCTTTGTACAAGATTCCTTAGAGTAAGAAATCAGGTGAGAGGGAGATAAGATCTGCCCATTATGAAATCAGGAAGTTCTCTTATGAAGAGAAATCATTGAGAAAATGAATTTCTCGAGATTTATGTGCAGGCCTAGACTTCAGAATACTGAAATTGTTGTTTGCACTGCTGCCCATATCTCCTGATATGACCAACCTTTGAGGAGCCAGTTGTTGAGGTAGGAAATGACAGTTATTCCTAGATAACAGAGGTAGGCATCTACAACTGCCATAATTTTTGAGAGTTCCCTAGAGGCTGAAGACAGACTGAAGGGTAGGAGCTGGAATTGGTAACAATTATGATTGAAAGTGAATTGAAGAACTCTTTTGTGGGAAGGATGAATTATACATGGAAGTAGGCATCTTTGAGGTTGAGAGTCGCAAACCAGTCCCGATTCCAGGGAAGGAATTACATTTGCTAGGGACACCATCTTGAATTTTAAGTGTCTGACATCCTTGACCAGTTGTCTGAGATCCATTTTTCTTGGGTATCAGAAAGTAACTTGAATAGAACCCTTTTCCCTTGTGGGACTGGTTTTATGGCTCCTAGATTTAGGAGTGATGAGATTTCCTATGTAAGAATTAATCGTGAGGGGGTAAGTGGTTGAAGGGGCAGGTAAATTGGATTGTATAACCCAAAGTAATCGCCTCCAATACCCATTTGTCCAATGTTATAGCCTCCCATGCTTGATGAAATACAGAGAAACTGTGTCCAAATTGAGGAAGGGGTGTATGTGTAATGCAGCTGATAAAATCTGGTCATTGGGTGGTCTGGACTCTAGACCAAACCATCAAAAATGATGTTTGGACAATGCCAAAGGCTCAGATGATGCAACCAAGGTAGTTACAAGCCTTTTCTTTGAAAATCTTTACCTTCTAGCTGTTGGTTCCAGTGTTCTATGGGAGACAGAAAATTGAATAGGGTGGGATCTTTGAGTCATCTACATTTTCTCTTATCAGCAAATGCATATATTCCTAAATACCTAAGTGTTGCCCTAGAGTCTTTAGGGTGTGAAGTGAGTTGTCTGTGGAATCTATGAAAAGCTTCTGGCCATTGAAAGGCAAATCCTTCACGGTTGATTGCACCTCCTGTGGAAACCCAGACAACTGAACCCAGGAAGCTAGCCTTGTCACAACTGCAATGGAAACAGACCCGGCTGCAGTGTCAGCCACATCTAGTGAAGCCTGCAGGGAGGTCTTTTACAAAAGTCTGATCCTCCTTTATTATGGCACAGAACTGTCCTCGACGTTCCTGTAGCAAATGGTCAATAAAATCATTAAACTTCTCATAGTTCAGGTAGTCATATTTTGACATCAGCACCTGGTGAAGCGCTATCCTGATCTGTTGCTGATGAATAGCTCTTATGAACCAATAGACATATCTGGTATCAATTATTATAAGGAGTGGCCTTTTCGGTACACCACCTGCCCCTTTCATTGACTGCTTCCATGACCAGAGAGTTTGGTGCTGGGTGAGAGAATAAAAAACTCAGTCTCTGGCTGGGATATAGTATTTTTTTATCATTTAAAGTCTATAATAAATTTCCCTGTTTTTACAGGATATTCCCTTAAAGGACAAGCAGATTTTACACTTGCTAGGAGTATGAGAGTTTCCCAAACTATGAATGCAGTAGGAGTGCCCATGACTAACAGGGACTGCTTCTCTATGCGAGAGGCACATTTTAAAGCCCAGGTAGCCCAGATTCCCGACAGAAGAAAAAAAAAAGTTACTCAAACCCCTCATTGGGGGGGAAAGAAAAGAAAAAAACAAAAAATAATTTAAGAAAAGAAAAAAGGGGACAAACAGTCCAACTATAAGGTATTGAACCTACTCTACTAACTTTACAGCTAAACACTAATAAAAGAGGCAAACAAGCGCTAAGCAAACAGGCACACGCTAAACTCTGTCTAAGGCCAATGATGATTGAGAGGAACTGAGGGAGGTTCGCCTGCACAGCTTTATATAGTCTTAGTATGGGGCATGAGGATGCGTAGGAGGCATGCGCAGGTCAAACAGGCATTGCTACCACAAATCTCCAAAGGCGCAGGGATACATGCGCATTTGAAGTGGAGCTCCTGCAGGGACACTACTCAAAAAAAGAAAAAGAGGTACAAAGGGTGGAGTGATTCACCCAATGTCTCACAGCTAGCCAGTAACAGAACATAAGCAAATCCAATGCCCCATCCACTGGACCATGCTGCCTCTCATATGGCAACAATCTAAAGCAGGGGTAGGCAACCTATGGCACGTGTGCTGAAGGTGGCACACGAGCTGATTTTCAGTGGCACTCACACTGCCCAGGTCCTGGCCACTGGTCCGGGGGGCTCTGCATTTTAATTTAAATGAAGCTTCTTAAACATTTTAAAAACCTTATTTACTTTACATACAACAATAGTTTTGTTATATATTATAGACTTATAGAAAGAGACCTTCTAAAAACATTAAAATGTATTACTGGCACGCGAAACCTTAAATTAGAGTGAATAAATGAAGACTCGGCACACCGCTTCTGAAAGGTTGCCGACCCCTGATCTAATGCTTCAGACTGGGGAAACGGATAGCAGCATTGTGAACTGTTAAGTTCTTTTTGGCCGAACTAACAATCAATAAACCACAACTCTGCTTGGGGTGTAGATGAATGAACACAAGAAATTATTTCAAACAAGTGTTACATGAAAATAATTTTATCATTCATTATTCTAACTGTAGTAGGGCTTAGGAGCCCCAAGTCATGGACCAAGGCCCCATTGTGCTAAGCACTGTAAAAACAAATAACAAGAAGATGGTCTCTGCCCCAAAGAGCTTCATAAGCATTCAGGATAGCACCCAACATCCAGAAGCTAAAAAGCTCCAAGGACGTTTCACCAGGCTCTCTTATATAAATTTATATTCAGTAATGATTCAGTTCCTTAGGACTAAATAACCTATGCTGGAATTTAACTTCACCAAGGAGATATTGGCTTATTTCATATAATATAGTTTTTTTTAAACTAAAAGATTAAGGTTTTTGATAGCAAATTAAAAACAAAAACCAAGGTCCCATCGCAACATTCTAAACAAAATTAAAGTAGGACAGAAGCAGTTAAACTGTTCCTTTGAGTGCTTCAGAGCATGCCTGTTTATCTCATCCTGGCACATGAGACCAGATAAATGAAAATCTATCCTAAATGCTTACCTTTGGAGAAACAAATCTTCTATCATGTGTTTAAAAATGTTCAAGAAAATAATTATAAGAAAAGCCTCCCACCTTTTCCCTCCAAATCTTACTAACCTGTAATGCTTTGTTTGCTTCTTTTATATCTTCTATTTTAAGCTTTGATCTAAACATAGAAGATTATATATAGTTTAGACATTTATTGAGAGTATTTAGTTACCACATATGGTTAAAATACTTTAGAAGTTACAATTATTTTAAAAGTCAAAGGCAAATTATTATGAATTTCTGGCTGATATATTGTTAAAAATATTTATATTAACAGTAGCACCCAGAGGCCCCAATCAAGTTCAGGGCCCCAATATGCTCAGTGCTGTACAAACACAAGGAAGACACGATCTCTTCTCCAAAGAGTTTGCAATCCTATGAATGGTGGCATATGTTTAGGGCTTGTATAGACTTGAGAAATTTACGCCAATGTAACTAAATCTAGATGCAAATCCTTAATGCTGACACACTGCACTGGTGCAAAATGGGGTTTGGAACTTACTGTGTTAAATTTCACCAGTACAAGCCATTTTATTCCATTGCAGAACATCTACCCCGGGTCCAACTACACCAGTGCAAAACAAAGCAGTATAAACAGGGCTTTAGGCTACATGATACTACTCTTTTTGACATAGGATGTAAAACACAGCAGCATTAGTCATGGCATGACTATTTACAAGAGAAAAATATCCTTAAAAAGAAGGAGAAAGCATTCCTCAAAAATACCAAGAAGGAAAGTGTTAAAGGACACTGAACTGTGTTCAAAGCCCACTGCTGATAAATGGTCTAATGAAATGAACAGTCTTTGGAGTTGCACCCCATTTTATACCCTGGAATCCTAGCACATTTGGAGAGGATTGAACATGTGCATGCATCTAATGATCACTACTTGCTAAAAGCTTCTGAGCTCATATGCCAGGGATGTACATCGCCTAAGAGTAGGGAATGGGATCCATCTGGGCAATCATCTCAAATTATAATGAATCTTCCTGTTGTGGAACCCACAGTTATTGATTCCTAACAGAATTAGTCTTTAGTGAAATGGAGTTCACACAAATGCTCAAACTTTATCCAACAATGTCTTGAATGCATTTATTAAGAGACAGGAAGATCTTCATAAAACAAGTCTGAGGAATTTGTTAGATTGCCCAAAGCATATTTAATTAGGACTGGTTTTTCTGAGATGGACATAATTAAGTCCATTATATGACTGCTAGAGGCTACCCACCACCCTAATGTGAAGGTAAATCTGTTCAAAATGCAGACCCAGGCCATTTGTACACACCTTTCTTTTCTGAAAATTTATCAGATAATTTCCTCCTACTGAACTGAATAAATTTCATTTGAAGCCAGTAATCCTCCCTAATTTCCATGGTCTCAATTTCCATGGTAGTTGCACAGTTATTTTCAGTAGCTTTATCTTGAATTTTACATTGCAAAAATCATCAAGAAAAATAAGTTACTCGCTAAGCTTGCAGGCCAGTTCTTGGAGAGCTTCTTCTTGGTCATGACATATCTTTTTCAACTGCCTATTTTTGTCCTGTAGTTTAAGGAATTCCTTTAAAAAAAAATAAAAGGTGGCGTTTTTTTAAAATGAGAAGAAATAACATAGTACATAAAAGTAACTTTCTAAGTAATAAGCAAGTGTTAGAACTTTACATGTTAACCAGTATTGTATGTCAAAGTCAGAAGGTTAAAGGAAGGGGCAATAGTCACTAATAATATTTTGGTAATCTCAAAAGGATAAATAGCAACCCCATAAACAAAGTTGTGTGATGGTGGAGAGAGGGAAGACGTGTCCACATAATTACCACCAGTGGTTTTGCCTGTGTTCCACATCCAGTAATGTTATGTGACTGTCGCTTCCTCCTGTACTATTCAAACTTTTCTGCTGTAAGTTCTCAAACCAAAGCCCAGTGAAGTCAATGGAAAGACTGCTACCGATTTTGATGGGCTTTGGATCAGGCACTAAGAAATACTAAGGGAAACCCCATTCTTGGAAAGGAAAGGTAGGCTTGGTGGGATTAAGGCAGACCAAAGAAAGGGTAAGAATATATATGTGGCTAAATGCGCTTTACCCTTTTAAATGTGCTTCACATTCTCCTAAGAAATTTGTCTCTGGCATAGTCCTAGCGGATCTGCAGGAGCATGAAACACTGTGGCTCACATAGCCTATGCCACCCCCAGTATGCTACTGCCCCAGCATCCTTCCTTGGACACAATTCTTTTGCCCATTAGTCACTAAAAATATTGTATGGGTATCTGAGAAATAAATTTAGCAGGTGGAAAGGTATAACAAACATATGCTTAGAAAGGATGTTCTGCTGCTATTTAATCTACATTTGCTTTATATTTAAATTTTATGCTCACTTCACCTCAGAAGTGGCAGACAAACAGTTGGCTTTCAAACTCTACTGCTGAAAAAGTATTCATGCACCTATGAGTACAATTCATATAACATTCACTTTTTTCCTATCTTTCTGGCATCTTCATCTTCCCATTTTCCTTGCAACGGCTGAGATCACAAACACCTCAAATAGCTGGAGGCCTTTTTTTTTTGCCCTACTTTAGGTGGCTGTGATCTTAACTGTTTCAGGGAAAACACATTACTTGGAATGTATGAGTCAGGGATTCTTTTTCTCATAAGAAGTAATGAATTCACATTTTTCTTTCTACTATATACAGATGGGTATTTCATCTTACAATTTAATGATGTCAGATGAGAGTTTTCTAAAGGAACACACACACCCTATTACTTAAAAAAAAAAAGTTATGATTCTCTGGTTTCGAAACAGCTAAGAGGCGATGGCTAATTAATAAAATATCTATAGAATAATTATTTTCTGTAGATCAGTTACAAGTGGTAATTTAAAACAAGACAATTTCAATTGGCTTCTTTACTGTAGATCTTGAAAAACTTTCTAAATCTGAAATATTTTGGACAATATTTCTCTCTTTTCATAGTCAGTTCTTTAAAAATTAAGCATGTCTGCTCTTCCTTTAGACTTATTCTTCCTTTTTTAACTAAACCTCATCCTAAAATGCAAATCAAGAATTAATTCCTCTTCAAAACCCAGCAATGCTATATTTTGAATATAACAACTAAGCACTGTGATGCAAAGATTAACATGGGATGGGATAAGAGCAGCTATATAAATGAGCATTCAATGCACTGTTTCACCAGGAAAGAGGACATTGCATGGGGAAGGCATGAAGCTGCATATACACCTGTTGAATTCAGCAAATATCCTATCTAGAGAATATGACTGACATTAAATATTATATCCAATAGTAGATGTGCAGAGAGAGAGAAAAATAAAATCACTTGAAAATATTTTTAAAAGTCTGGGTACTAACAGAGAGGCAATGGCATGTCTAGAAGAGGAAAGGGACGCTCATATACTATGATGACAGTATGAAACCCTGAAAAGAATACGGAGGAGAGCTCTCACTCCTTCAATGGCTCTCAGCATAAATCAAGAGGAAGTCAGAGATAAGACACATGACACCAAGGAAGAGTAGAGGAAAGTAGGCTAACAAAGAGAGCGGATGGACTTGTCCTCTAGACACCGTGATACTAAGAGACAGAGAGAGAGATGAAACAAGCAGACACGGTTTAACAATACAAGCATTTTTATCTCAGATCTGCCTCTAGAAGAAAGTTTTCACCTACATTAGGTGAAATTGGGTGTAACTTCAGACCTTCATATGTTTTAAGTCCACTTACTTCTCGTCTGGTCTGCTTTGGTTTCTTGACTGCCTAATAAAATTTTCTTTAAGATCCCCCCCTCTTTTTCTTTAGCTGTTATTTACATTAACTGGTTCCTCAAGACAAGAAATATCAACTGCTGATTCATAGATTCTAGGACTGGAAGGGACCTCGAGAGGTCATCGAGTCCAGTCCCCTGCCCGCATGGCAGGACCAAATACTGTCTAGACCATCCCTGATAGACATTTATCTAACCTACTCTTAAATATCTCCAGAGATGGAGATTCCACAACCTCCCTAGGCAATTTATTCCAGTGTTTAACCACCCTGACAGTTAGGAACTTTTTCCTAATGTCCAACCTAGACCTCCCTTGCTGCAGTTTAAGCCCATTGCTTCTTGTTCTATCCTTAGAGGCTAAGGTGAACAAGTTTTCTCCCTCCTCATGACATCCTTTTAGATACCTGAAAACTGCTATCATGTCCCCTCTCAGTCTTCTCTTTTCCAAACTAAACAAACCCAATTCTTTCAGCCTTCCTTCATAGGTCATGTTCTCAAGACCTTTAATCATTCTTGTTGCTCTTCTCTGGACCCTTTCCAATTTCTCCACATCTTTCTTGAAATGCGGTGCCCAGAACTGGACACAATACTCCAGCTGAGGCCTAACCAGAGCAGAGTAGAGCGGAAGAATGACTTCTCGTGTCTTGCTCACAACACACCTGTTAATACATCCCAGAATCATGTTTGCTTTTTTTGCAACAGCATCACACTGTTGACTCATATTTAGCTTGTGGTCCACTATAACCCCTAGATCCCTTTCTGCCATACTCCTTCCTAGACAGTCTCTTCCCATTCTGTATGTGTGAAACTGATTTTTTCTTCCTAAGTGGAGCACTTTGCATTTGTCTTTGTTAAACTTCATCCTGTTTAACTCAGACCATTTCTCCAATTTGTCCAGAAATTGATATCTGGTAAGGGGCAGAGGGGCAAAGGGTACCGGACACTGGGCACTCAAGTCCAAGACATAGGTCAGAAAACTGGCCAGCCTCAAAAATTTCTCCCAAGGTGCTAGCTGCAGTCAGTATGGGATCTGGGAAAAATCTGGTACCATGCCTGACAGGGCATGACTTTTTTTATTTTTTTTAAATGAAGATTCAGAATGTAATTAAAATTCTTATTTAAAGATTTGTAAACACCCATTCACGTTAGTATCTGAGCTCTTCACAAAAATATAGCCCAAACACTGAACTGCACAAAAAAGAGACCATAAAAATCCCAGCAACTCTTGCTACCTGAAAACGTCTACCAATTAATTGCTGCCTCATTGTCAAACAGACAAGAGAAATTAGCCAAACGCCATCCAAGTGTGCCTTACCTCTTGCTAACGATACCACCAATCATAGGCTATGACAGGCCATCTGAGAGGGCTACACCAACAGAAGAGGGTACACAGCTCTGATATCAGTCCTGGAGAGTTCAGCAGCAATGTATATGAACACATGCCAATTTGTTAATATGTGCCTCAATAGGCAAAATTCAGGATCAAATTCTCTTAAATGAGACACTAATATCCTCACATTTATTAATTGAGTTTTACTAATTAAGCTAGCTGCTCTAAATAGAAAATATGCTTTATGTTACTTGCTCCTGAAAAACTAAAGAAACTGAAACAAATAATTTAACTCTATAGTTTATGTCTCTAGAATATATTTTAGTTCTATTGGCCCGAGTAATAAAATCCTGAAAAACCATAACATCTATGGGTGGATTCTTTCCAATTACGGTACTTGAAAACAACAGTAGGTTCCTGAAATCCTATCACACTGAGTGTGTCAGATAGGAATACAATAAATAATCAGACCATTAAGGAATATCCTTCCGTGAATATACTGCTGTTACTCTTTTTAGTATTTTATTTGGGAGTCTAATACACAATAGTGGAAACACTGCTCTCCTGTTTCAGATCATGCATTATCCCCCTGACTGTTCACTTATCTATTGCTTCCTCTATTTTTGACTGTGTAATTTCCTTCAGCCTGAAAGATTTTAATTGTTTTAAACTTAAAATGACATTTTGAATCTATGCAATTTTTTGTATATTTACCCATGGTACAGTCCGTTAATTTCTATATATTCAGGCAATTTTTAAGGTTAGTGAGCACTTTTCAAAAACTCTCTCTTACCCACAGTAGTTTGTTAGTTAGACCTATTCTCCCGTATCAGTGCCTCCCAGCATTAGAGTCTGGGCAGACGCCATTTTCCTCATGGTTTTTAGCCTCCTGAATTTCTCTCAAAAGAATTTACTCTACTTGAATCCCAGCAGTGATTTCTGATTATTTTATTCTGCTTGTGGTTGACGATTCTAAGGCCTGGTCTACACTAGGAGGTTATGTCGAATTTAGCAGCGTTAAATCGAATTAACCCTGCACCCGTCCACACAACGAAGCTATTTAGTTCGACACAGAGGTCTCCTAAATTCGATTTCTGTACTCCTCCCCAACGAGGGGAGTAGCGCTAAATTCGACATGGCCATGTCGAATTAGGGTAGGTGTGGATGGGAATTGACGCTAATAGCTCCGGGAGCTATCCCACAGTGCACCACTCTGTTGATGCTCTGGACAGCAGTCCGAGCTCGGATGCTCTGACTGGCCACACAGGAAAAGCCCCGGGAAAATTTGAATTCCTTTTCCTGTCTGGCCAGTTTGAATCTCATTTCCTGTTTGGACATCGTGGCGAGCTCAGCAGCACTGGCAACGATGCAGAGCTCTCCAGCAGAGGTGACCAATGCAATCTCAGAATAGAAAGAGGGCCCCAGCATGGACTGATCGGGAAGTCTTGGATCTGATCGCTGTGTGGGGCGATGAGTCCGTGCTTTCGGAGCTGCGATCGAAAAGACGGAACGCAAAGATCTACAAGAAGATCCCAAAAGCCATGACAGAGAGAGGATACAGCCGGGATGCAACGCAGTGCCGTGTGAAAATCAAGGAGCTGAGACAAGGGTACCAGAAGACCAAAGAGGCAAACGGAGACTCCGGATCCCAGCCCCAGACATGCCGTTTCTACGAGGCACTGCATTCCATTCTAGGTGCGGCCGCCACCACTACCCCACCACTGACCGTGGACTCTGAGGATGGGATATTGTTGACAGCCGCTTCCTCGGAGATGTTAGCGGACGGGGAAGATGAGGAAGGAGATGAGGAGGACGAGGCAGTCGACAGCGCTTACAACGCTGATTTCCCCGACAGCCAGGATCTCTTCATCACCCTCACAGAGATCCCCTACCAACAGTCCCCAGGCGTTAACCAGGACCCAGAATCAGGGGAAGGATCAGTCGGTAAGTGTTTAAAACATGTAAACATTTATTTTGAACAGAACAGGAATATTAACAATATTAACAATGGGTTTTTCATGATTAGTTTGCCCTAGGCGCTTAACGTTTTAGTCCTTGGCAGTGCAACTACTGCAAAAGAATCTAACAATGTCCGGTTTATCATGATTAGTTTGCCCTAGGCGCTCTACTTTTTAGTCCTTGCCAGTGCGGCTACTGGAAAAGAAGGTCTATATGTCCGGGGATAGAGCTGAAATCCTCATGGGACATCTCCACGAAGCTCTCCTGGAGGTAATTGGAAAGCCTTTGCATGAGGTTCCTGGGGAGAGCGGCCTTATTGTGTCCTCCATGGTAGGAAACTTTTCCGCGCCAGGCTATCATCAAGTACTCTGGGATCATTGCCTTGCAGAGCATGGTGGCATACGGCCCCGGTTTTTGCTGGCTTTCACGCAGCATGCGGTCTTTCTCTGTCCCAGAAATCCTCAGCAGAGTGATGTCGCTCATGGTGACCTGCTTAGAATTAGGGAAATGTTACTGTTGGGACTGCTTGCCTGTTCCATTACAGAACTGTAACCGCCATTTTACAGCCACGCGGTGGAGGCGGGAGAGGGGCAGCATACAGGGATCTTTCCCGAGGACAGCTGCGAGGGGGTGGGACAGGGGCAGAGTTCATGCTTGCCGGATTGCCGGCAGCAGGAACTGGCCAACGCTAGGAGCATTGCTTTGAACGTGAAAGGAGGGCACTGCTATAATTTAAGTTTTAAGCAGCCAAAAGTCTACGGCTTACCATGTCAGCCTGCTACCCGAATTCCGCTGTCCTGCCCCGCTTGTCTGATCTCCACTGCAAGACCTCAGGCACTGAATGCGAAGGCCGAAAATTCGACCTTGTCCTGAGTGCGCATGTGATAGGTGCTGTGCATGGTCTTGTTCACAGAGAAAGACTATGTTCATTGTTCACAAAAAATTATCTTTGTGAGGAATTCACTCCCTTTTTCCCATCCCACAGCTGCGACTGTCTCCCGACCTACCCTGGCATCCCCCTCCCAGAGGCTGGCGCAGATTAGGCGGAGAAAGAAAAGGACACGGGACGACATGTTCTCAGAACTTATGGGCTCCTCCCGAGCCGAGGCGGCCCAGCAGACCCAGTGGAGGGAGAACATGTCGCAAATCCATCGATCACACATAGAACGGGAGGAGAGGTGGCGGCAGGAAGACCAGCAGGCGACTCAAACACTGCTTGGACTTCTGAGGGAGCAAACAGACACGCTCCGGCGCCTTGTAGATGTTCTGCAGGACCGGAGGCAGGAGGACAGAGCCCCGCTGCAGTCTATCTCTAACCGCCCTCCCCCGCCACAAAGTCCCATACCCCCCTCACCCAAAGTCCCAAGAAGGAGGGGCGGCAGGGGCCGTGAAAACTGTCACTCCACCCCTGCAGACTGCTCAAGTACCAGAAGGCTCTCATTCCCCAAAATTTGATAAGTCCTTTCCTTCCCGCCTCACCCAAGCCCCCGGCCCAGTTTCATCCCCTAACTGTGTAGCTGCTAATAAAAAATAAGTTTCTGTTAATTACTGTTTCCATCATGTTCTTTTAGAGGAGAGTGTGTTTGAAGGAGGGGAAGGGGGTTGGTAATTGGACAGGACAGTCACCTTTACCAGGGTACAGACAGGGGGGCAGGTTCAGCAGCAGGTCACACACACATTGCAGTCACTAGGCACCCTGGTCAGTCTTGGAGGTGGTTTTCATGTTCTGTGTGTGTGTGTGGGGGGGCTATGTGAGTTTGTGGCGGGGGAGGGCGGTTAGAGATCTTATGCAGCGGTCCTTTCCATCACTACGCCCGCTCCCCACCACAGTCTGCGTCCCAGTTTCAACACTTTACCGCGAAACCCGTAATAAAGAAAACGGTGTTCATTAACAAAGTTCCATTTATTTTATTTTTAAACGTGTGTTGGAAGGGGGGGGACGGGGTGAACGGGGTATGTAGCTGGAGAGGATAGTCAACATAAACTGGGTAAAGAAACGGGGGCAGGTTCAGCTTCTCTTTAAACAAAGTTAATAGTCACAGGTTACCCTGCTCACTCAGGAACCTAGCTTTCAAAGCCTCCCGGATGCACAGCGCGTCCCGCTGGGCTCTTCTAATCGCACGGCTGTCTGGCTGGGCGTAATCAGCAGCCAGGCTATTTGCCTCAACCTCCCACCCCGCCATAAAGGTCTCCCCCTTGCTCTCTCAGAGATTGTGGAGCATACAGCAAGCTGCAATAACAATGGGGATATTGGTTTCGCTGAGATCGGAGCGAGTCAGTAAGCTTCTCCATCTCCCTTTGAGACGTCCAAAAGCACACTCCACCACCATTCTGCACTTGCTCAGATGGTAGTTGAAGAGTTCTTTTTCAGTGTCCAGGGCGCCTGTATAGGGCTTCATGAGCCAGGGCATTAGCGGGTAGGCTGGGTCCCCGAGGATCACTATAGGCATCTCCACAACCCCAACAGTTATTTTGTGGTCCGGGAAGTAAATACCTTCCTGCAGCCGTCTAAACAGACCAGAGTTCCTGAAAACACAAGCGTCATGAACCTTGCCCGGCCATCCGACGTTGATGTTGGTAAAATGTCCCCTATGGTCCACCAGTGCTTGCAGCACCATTGAAAAGTAGCCCTTTCGGTTAATGTACTGGCTGGCCTGGTGGTCCGGTCCCAGGATAGGGATGTGAGTTCCATCTATAGCCCCACCGCAGTTTGGGAATCCCATAGCGGCAAAGCCATCTATGATGACCTGCACGTTTCCAAGGGTCACTACCTTTGACAGCAGTAGCTCAACGATTGCGTTGGCTACTTGCATCACAGCAACCCCCACGGTAGATTTGCCCACGCCAAAGTGGTTCGCGACTGACCGGTAGCTGTCTGGCGTTGCAAGCTTCCAGAGGGCTATGGCCACTTGCTTCTGGACAGTCAGGGCTGCTCGCATCCGGGTGTCCTTGCGCTTCAGGGCAGGGGACAGCAGCTCACAAAGTTCCAGGAAAGTTCCCTTCCGCATCCGAAAGTTTCGCAGCCACTGTGATTCATCCCAGACCTGCAGCACTATGCAGTCCCACCAGTCCGTGCTTGTTTCCCGGGCCCAGAATCGCCGTTCCACAGCATCAACATGACCCATTGCCACCATGATGTTCACGGCGCGGGGTCCCGTGCTTTGTGAGAGGTCTGTGGCACTCTCAGACTTCATGTCCTCACTGTGCTGCCGTAGCCTCCTCGCCCGATTTCTCAGCATCTGCCTCTGGAAAAGGTGGACGATAAGGTGCGAGGTGTTGACAACGGCCATAACTGCAGCGATGGTCGCAGCGGGCTCCATGCTCGCAGTGCTGTGGTGTCCGCGCTGTCACTCACCAGAAAAGTGCGCAAACTGATTGCCCGCCGGCGCTTTCAGGGAGGGAGGGCGGGAGTGACGGTTGGATGACGACAGTTACCCAAAACCACCCTCGACACATTTTTTTCCCCAGCAGGCATTGGGGGCTCGACCCAGAATTCCAATGGGCAGCGGGGACTGTGGGAACTGTGGGATAGCTGCCCACAGTGCACCGCTTCCAATGTCAACGCTTGCCCCGTTAGTGTGGACTCACAAAGTTGAATTACTGTCCTTAGTGTGGATACACACGTTCGACTTTGTAATATCGATTCCACATATTCGATTTAAGTAAAATCGAACTAGTCTCGTAGTGTAGACATACCCTAAGTAACTCCTCTGGAAAAGAAACAGAATCTAGGTGTGCCAAAAGGATTTCAGGAACTCCTAACAGAGCCTCTAACATCAGCCTTTCCAGTACCAAATTGTGAATGTTGGGAGTCTGGCTGGGACATGAAAATATCTATTTCTGTTAAAATCTCAGATCCAATTCTAAGAGCAACAGTAGCAATTCACAAATTAATTTCATTTCAGTTTGATGCTAAATGACCAAGCAGGCTATTTAGTTCCTCCTCCACATACTTGCTTCTTTTCAATCACTTCCCAGGTAAAGAAATGTAAAGATACTATAGAAATTAGTGATATGAAATTTTTAAGTAGCAAGATAAACGGGGTTTGACGGATTAGAACATTTACCGTCACTGGCCTATCACAAGATTTTAGTGAGATATCCTTCAGTATGATTCAGAAAGGAGAATGTGGATTTCACTATTCCTTATGGAAAACACAGAATCCTGAACTCAAGACTACAGGGGTCAGAAGGGACTGCTTTTCAAAAAAAAAAAAAAAAAAAAAATTAAATCTATTTATTTGTATTTTTAAGCCTAAACGTTTGTTCCATTAAGGATTTCAGATCTGGGAGTGTTAAAATTTATATTTTAAAAGCCTGGCAAGTTCACTTTTAGATTACTGCTAACGTGAATTTGAAAAGCTTTCCTCCAGAATTTACTTTTTTAAGACAAATTATTTGTTGGGTCTCTACTCTCAGATGAGATAAAGTTTCTTTTTCCTTTTGCAGATCATCTTCCAGGGTTTGTCTCCATTCCTTTTCTATCTTCAAATCTGTTTCCAGTTGAACACTAGAATTGCAAACAAAAGACCATCATGGTGCATTTCAGTATAATCTTTTTAACAAAATAAACCTTTTCAATTTTCTAGTTTCACTATCAGTCCAGCCCAACAAACAGTAGTTTGCTATTTTAATTTGTTTACAAGTTGGTTATTTTTAATGTTGTGACATTTATCTGCAATTTCCTAAGAAGATTTTGTATACAAGTGTAACAAGTTATAAGAAAATAGAGGGCTTTCATTGAGAGAGGTTTTGAGGGTGTCAAACAATTCTGAAGAACTGGCTTTTGCAATGATTTAATTTGCTGTCCTAGTAACTATTCTTTGGCAACTGAAACATGCATATTAGAGAACTTTCCTGTTTGTCTTAAGTGTCATGTAGCTTTATTATAATACAGATCTTGTATATGAAAGAAGATGAGTGGTTAAATGCATTTCTAGAGCTCATAAAAGCTGTTGTATTAGTAAGACTTTAAATGGAAAGCCTCTATTTTCTATTTCAGAGTGGAGATTATAGGGACAGAATTAAGAATATATAACTTCTAAGGTATCTTGAATACAGTGTAAAGTATTTTGAGTTGCTGGATATTATTGAAATTCCTAACCAACAGACGATATAAAGGAGACTCTGCTTTATACTAATCACAGCTACTGGATTACAGTTAAAGGAACTGGGGCCAATCTGTCAGTGGATCCACTGTTGCCATTCTGTCATCAACTTAAATGGACAAAGAATGATTCCTTATAGCTTCATAGAAAACACAAACTAACAGCAGATGAGAATAAACTGCTGGATTGAAATCCTACTACCTAATGAAGGTGGAAAGATCTGACTGTAGTTATGAAAGTTTTTCAGGAGGAACTTGTGTCCATATTGATTTTATAACAGGATAGCTAAGTCATTTTTTAAAGGAAAAACTTACTTTTTGGGACACTACCTCAGCATCTTGTTTGTTGGAAAAGATCAGAAGTGAACATGACCTTGAGGTTTCAGAATTGCGGAATTCTAAGGTTGAGGTTTGAACTGCTCTTTTGCCAAAATCTGTGAAGATGACTGTGGTGGTAAAGTGAACATTTGTCATGATGGTTGAACAAGTATTGATACTCAAATTAGTAAGAGAGGCAATGTGGTCTGAACACAAGATTGGAAACTTTGAACTCCCAAGCACTAATCCTTGCTGTAGTCTTAAGTCATTCACTCTCTTTCTCTCTCTCAATAAAATAGGGGGAAATACCACACAACCTCACAGGGATGTTCATAAAGTGCACTGAAAGCACAGTCTAAATGCTAATTACTGCTATTACTGCCTGTTTCATCAGTACTTGTGGTTGCACTGATTCTCTGGACCAAATACCTGTCCAGGGAATTCCACGGGTGTAAAAGCAGAATTTGGCTTTTATTTCTTGATTTAATATTTCAGTTTCTAGCAGACTCAAGGATTTCATGAGTGCCTTTCAGCTACCAACACTTTGAAGGATTTTGGCTTCTTTTTCAAGCCTGAATAGTTTAATTGTTCTATGGAGTTTCTGTAAATTTATGCTGCTATATCTACAGGATTTACAATAATAAAATGTGGGTTAATCTAGTTTATTATAAATTTAGAATTTTTGTTCCTGTTAACTACTCTTTCCCTAGTGAATTAAGACTGTATCTTCAGCCCAAAAACATGCCTGTTCTTCCCCCTCTTCTGGCTGGACAGCTATTTAAAAAAATTCATTTGTAGCTTGATTTACTTGGAATGACAGATTTTCTTCCACCCTGCCCTTGCCTAATATACGTCTTCCTAGACAGCATCTTTATCCAATTAAAGATCATCAGTAATGTGCTGCCTGTATTATGTGATGTATCCTACATTTTTAGTTAACAGAATGTTTTAAAGTAAACATAAAAGGAAAAAAGATTTTAAGTGCCTTATACTTTTTCCAAAAGGGAAGTATACTTACAGCTGCTTCTCCTTTCGGGAGATTTCTTTCTGCAGGTTTTCAGATTTACTCATACATTCTTGTTTGAATTTCTTGTCCTCCTTCTCAGCTTCCACTTGAGACTTCTCTGCTTGCTGCAATCTGGTGTAATTCAAATCAACTTTGGGTAAAACTGAGGCTAGAACTAGGGTGTAAAGGGTGAAGAAGACAAATAAAAGAAAAATGGGGAAATAGAAACATTTCTAAATAAAAACAAAGATTGGGGGAAACTCACAAACTCAAACGAGAGAGCCACACAATGCCTAGAAATCTAGCTTCTGGTTTTCACTACAGAAAGAAAAGCAGATTAAGTCTTCCAATTTGTTTTTATTTTATGTTCACCATTAACAGATGCCATCAAAGCATAACCATACAGATTTTATAATTGATCTATATCACTTACTGCTCTAACTTTGAGCGTACATATATGTTTTATTGTGGGAGGCATTTTTACAAGAACTGTAGAAGTACAGTAACTACTTTGTCTATACTAATGAATCAATAAGACAGTGTGTGTTGTGCTGGAATGGCTTGATGCAATTCAGACATGAGCCTGAATACGGAACACTGGAATCAGATAGTAAGAACACAGCTGTAGTAAGACAGCAGAACACACCCTGGAGCATCTTACTATACTTACAGAATAACCACTAATAAATAACATTATTAAATACATTTAAATAATCTGTATTAAAAATCATAGTTAAAAATAGCTCCATATGATAAACAAAACAAATGAAACTGAATAAATAACAGAAGTCAGGCTTTCATTTAAGATCTTTCCTTTTGATTTTAAAGGGATTTTGCATTCCTGTTTTGGATAGCCCTCTCCTCTCACTCATACCTCACCAATGCATCAAGATTTATCTCTGTTTGACCTTCTCTTCAGCCCAAAAAATAGGGGGTTTAAATTTAACTGAAATGTAAACACTAAATCAAAAATTGTATGTTACTCCATATTCAACTGTCTTATTGGGATATACAAGGAAGATTAGAGTAGCCAGTAAAACGTCATTCAGAGCCCCATCCCAATTGAGGTATCTCATTTTACAATTGCCTCTTTTCTCCCTTCTCAGACCTGGTCTACACCTAAAACTTAGATTGACATAGATACATTGCACTGAGGGGTGTGGAAAAAAAATCACACCCCCAAAAGACATTGTGAAGCCAACCTACGCTCCAGTCTAGACACCACTAGTTCAACAGAAGAACACCACCTCTCAAGGAGGTGGATTAACTACAGTGATGGAAAACCCCTTCTGTCGCTGTAGCAAGTGTCTACACTACAGCATCTTTGCAGCACCATAGCTGTGCTGCTGTAGCATCTGTATCGTACACAAGCCCTCAAAGTCTTGTTCAGAGAAAACTGAGGAGCTCTTCTCTCAAGGCTTGGCTTGAATCATCACGTCCCAGTCAGCTGAATGTAGAGTAACACACAACTCCCAGTTTAATCATTGTTAAATGTAAAATTAAATGAAAGCTTTCTTACTGGCCCTGTCTACACTACAAACACAACCATGTTAGGGAGCCCACCTACTAATGTTTTATAAAGTAGTATGCATCTACACTGGACATCTTTGGGAAACTGCCTACCATTGCAGTGCTATCAGACAACCAATGAGAGGGCTCATGCAGACAGTGCACCAGCATTACTAGACATCTCAGCAGAATTAGATTTCATGTTAATAAAAGCTCCAGTTCCCCATCTACACTCATGCTACCAGTGGTGAAGCTGCACTGGTGGGATAATTACTAAGAACTGCCAGTGCAGAAATGACAACAGACTGGACTTGAATCATGTTATTTTAAAGCATCTGAATTTAGCCTAGATATGAAAAACTGTTAGGGTCCACTCTACAATACAATGTGTTGTAATGAAGTTCCTTGATGTGTTTGTAATTGTAATACAAATAGGGCCAAAGTGGATGGATAGGAGAAGGGAGAATATTGGTGCACAGCAAGGCTAATTCTTGCTGCTATGCCAGAAGGCAGAGAAGGGTGAAAGACTAAACGAAACAGGAAAGCTAAAAACACCACTAAGACCCTCTCTAAACTTCAGCTGAAACTGCATTAGCACAATTTCCAAGACTAATATGGACAAGGATTTTTTTTCTGAGAACCATGCTAGCATCTATAGAATCTGTATCTCCACTAGCAGCTTGCAAACTCTATAGCTATATCCAGTGCAGCTCCACCAGGGTAGCAACTCAGATAAGAGCAAATCCTCAGTTGAAAATGTATATACCATCTGAGGATCTACCCCTAAATGTTTGAGTCCTGCCTATGATACACTTTACACTATTGCTACCCTGGTGGAGTTGTACTGGGGGGAATTACAGTTATGAAGATTTCTACGTAGATAAGGCGTTCTTGCTTTATAGTCTTTAGTTCTAATCATATCTCGGTTGTTTCCATGATACAGTAGCTCTGTTAAAACATCTTACATTCTACTCTATGCTAGCAGACTGAACTGTATTTTAGCTGTGTATAAGGGAGTCCTACAAATACAGAAATTATTTGGGTTTTGTTTTTGTAAAATACAGACAGAACATATGGAACATTTTTATAAGCTGTTTTAGCCAGTTCTCAGGAAAAATACGTCTGTCTACGCTACTCAAGAAAGTGATGCTACCAGCAACCACATTAAAAGAGTTGACAACATGTTTTCTGGTACAGAGAAGCCCTGAAAGTGCAACAACAATAAAAATGTGGGGTTTTTTTTATTAATTGAAAGGGAGGTTCTTTATTTATTTAAATGCTATAAATAAGGGGTGAGGGAAAACCCTATAACTGGAGGTAAGTGTCAGGGCAATGAGAAATCAAAAATATAAAGGCAGCTAACATTTTAAAATAAACTTTGTATTTAACATTAAAAAAAAGTAAAATGATTAAATAGCATTAGAAAATTCTAGTTTCTGATTGGTCAATAATATTACAGTGATTTTTTTTATTCTTTGGGAGGGGAGGGGAGAAAGGGATGGAGATTATTTTATTTCGGAAAACAAAGTCGTTCCAACTTGTGACATTGTGTCAAAATCACTAGTGCTTACTGACCAATTATAATACAGGATTTCCCAATACCATTTTATAATATTTAAGATCATAACCATATTTTTTTAAACCAACTCATACAAATTTTACTCTATCAATAGCCAAGTAGCTTTCAGAATGATATATCTTTGACAAGTTTGTATTGGTGCTGTGCTTCATTGCTGGCACATTTCACAAATGACATTGCAATAGTCCTAGTTTGAGTTAACAGATCTTTGTCACTTCACGTATGTAATGGACAAAATCAAAGACAGATAAAGGTAGTAAAGTTCAAAATGTAAAAATTGGGATAAAGGAAAAAAAGAAAGAAAAAAGAGGAGAAAGGATGTCAATAAAAGAATATTCATGTCACTAAATCTTTTAATACATAATTATGTTTTTCATAAGTAGCTTTTAAAGAAAACAATGGTAAGACATGTCAACACCAACATGACAGGGCTATGGATATGTTACATTTTACAATTAAAAATATTAACGATCCATATAGTCTATTTCATTTAAATAACTGAAGCACACAAATCACATCTTTATATTATGTAACAAATATATAGTAACCACAATATAAACTTACACACTGGTACTGTATCATTTCATTTTACTAATTCATGGTGTAATACTCATGTGTACATTCTTTACACTGAGGGAGTTTCCAAAGCAATTAATGTAAGCTTTGGAATCTTGGCCAGCCAGGGTCCTGATCCACAACACTTAGCACAGGCTTAACTTTAAGCAAGTGAGTAGTCTTGCTTAAAGTTAACCATGTGCTTTGGTGAGTCAAAGCCTTATTGAATAGCATTAAAATATAACACAGAGGTAACAATGAATCAGAATTCTGAAGTGGCCATCATTGAGCGCGGTAACTGAAAGAACAACCTTGGGTGCCGGCACAGAATGCCAGCACCAGTGAATGGTGAAAGAGAATCGACATAAAAAGCCTTGGTTTATGGCTCTATTTTTTCCACTCTTACAGTACATTAGAGCGGCCATACTGGGTCTGACCAAAGTTCCATTTAGTCCAGTATCCTGTCTTCCAACAGTGGCCAATGCCAGGTGCCCCAAAGGGAATGAACAGAACAGGTAATGATCAAGTGAACCATCCCCAGTTGCCCATTCCCAGCTTCTGGCAAACAGAGGCTAGGAACACCATCCCTGCCCATCCTGGCTAATAGCCATTGATGGACCTACCCTCCATGAACTTATCTAGTTCTTTTTTGAACCCTGTTATAGTCTTGGCCTTCTCAACATCAAAAAATAAATCTATGTGTTTGAAAAGCAATGGTAAAACACCAGTTGCAATTCCAAAAGATGATGCTTCTTTAAAACTTCCTACTGAGAGTTAAGTTTCAGTGGCAGCTGTGTGGGAATGCAGTAAGGGAGGAGGAATGAATGTGGAAAAGTAAGTAAAATAGAGATGGATGCTGTACCTTTGTTCCAATTGTTTCATAGTTGCAGTAATTTGATTGGTCTTATCCTCTAGTCGACCAATTATTTCATTCTTTTCTTTCATGGCATCTTCAGAAACCTATATTGAACAGATTAATACTGAAGCAGGTTTTATATTAAACTATATTTTTGATGCTTTTGTTCATTCTCTTAAGGAAAATATTTGTAATATGGCTTTGGGATTTGTTTGCTTATTTGTTTTTAAAATATTCCCATCTAAAAAAAAAAGCAATATTCAAGAAAAATATCTAAGTATAGAATTTCAATCTAAAGTATATTTGCATTTTATTGGAATTTTACAAGTGTACACTCTATTTAATAATATACATTTTTCAGTTTATTTCTTTTAAATATCTTTTTTTTGAGTCTACTAAAATTCAGTGCTAATTTTTTTTTAAATAACTCATTATATCCATAGCAACACCACCTATAAGCATTAGTTTTAGTTCACACGGAGGTCTTTATGGGCCCAATCCTGCAAGGTGGTAGGCACCGATAAGGCCTTAGGTCTGTACCAGAACAACAGCTAAAATTACTTACTGATATAGTTGAGTACTTTAATATTCTAACATTTTAACCAGCCTCTGACAACTGTGAACATCCCTGCTTCAAGGTCTAAATATAGGTACAATATTGTCATTAAATCTAATTAATATCACCACACAAAAGTTTCAAAACAGACATTAAAACAGAAAAACTACAGATCTCTGACAGACATTCTGCATAAACACCAAAAATAATACTGAAGAGCCTTTTTCTATACTGTCTCAGTTTATTTTACTAAAGACAGATCTTTATTCCTGTTTTGCTTTCTACACACAACATTTAGAAGTGGACAGTGGCATCTTGGTCCATGCATCTACTTGTCTACTCTTTGCATTGTGTAATGTCATTTCTATACGCACTTTCTCAAGTGGTCATAACTAACTTCTATTCCTGCCTTTGACAACTTGTTCCACACATGAAAATTACCACACGTTAAAATTATCACAAAGTACTTTCTCTTGAATTTCCTTGGTGTTTGGTCGTTTCTTAGCTGCAGTTTGTGAACTCTGAAATCTGGAGCCTCTTACCCTCACAAGTATTTCTGTGGCATTGCAAAGAATGTTATATCCCTTCTTAATAGTCTCTTTTCTAATTAACATGAATCCAATTTTCCTAATTGATCTTCACAGTTATAACTCTCAAAGCCCATTTAACCACTTCACTATCCTCCTTTACTTTTTACAATTCCTTCACTGTTCTTTCTAATATGGTCCCGCAAATGGAGCACAAAACTCCAGGTATATTATTCTCCCTATGTACAGTACCATGATGATCACTTGTGCTTCCGTCCTCTATACATCACAGTGATGCTTTAAAATGACTTCCATAAAACCTGCCTTATGTGAATGCAGTTAACTTATACAGGTAGCATGAAGATCTTATTCTGAAAGAGGAAGAGGGTAGAAGTAGAGAGCTGAGCTAAAAAAGCAGTGACAATGAGCAAAACTAAGAAAACAAGAATTTAACATAGGGATGAAAGACTATCAGCTTTCTAAAACAAATACTCTTCTATTGCTATACTGTTTCAAATGTCATGAGTAGCATGCACTATTTCAAAAGTCACACACATCTTACATTTATACTTCAAAGAGGTTTCAACAATTTAAGAAAGTTCTCTTTTACCTGCAGCTTTTGGTACATTTCTATGTTAATTGCTTTAACTTCATCTAGCTGATGTCGAAGGCCTATGAGGGTGTCTTGTTTCTCATGAATGTCTTTCTCCAACAACTTCATTGCAAGTTCTATCTCATGTTTCATACTAACTTGGACCATTAGCTCATTCTCTATATCCTACAAGTTGCACAAAAACACATATTATACTCTGTTAGGGTTGCCAAGTAATTGCACAAACCCAAACACCCTTGCCCCGCCCCCTGCCCTGTCACCCCGCCCCCTGCCCCGCCCCTTCTCCAAGGTCCCACCCCCCACTCAACTCCATCCTCCTTCCATCTCTCCCACCCTCACTCACTATCACCAGGCTGGGGTAGAGGTTTGGGGTGTGGGAGGGGATGGGGGTTCTGGGCTGGGGCCAATGGGTTCAGAGTATGGGAGGGAGATCCGGTCTGGGGCAGGGGATTGGGATACAGGAGGGGATGTGGGCTCTGGGAGGGAGTTTGGGTGCAGGAGGGGGCTCAGGGCAGTGGCAGGGGCTGTGGGCTCCGGCTGGACAGCACTTACCTCCGGCGTCTCCCGGAAGCAAGGCAGCTCTGCCCATCCCTGCAGGCACCGCCCCCACAGCTCCCACTGGCTGCCGTTTCCGGCCAATGGGAGCTGTGGAGTTGGCGCTCGGGGCAGAGGCAGCACACAGAGATCCCCCGGCCGTCCCTGCCTGCGCCTAGGGGCCGCAGGGACATGTCACTACTTCTGGGAGCTGCACCAAGCCAGGGCAGGTAGGGAGCCTGCCTTAGCCCTGCTGCGCCGCCCCCGCCAACCGGATTTTTGGCCTATTAAAATCTCCCGGATTGTTTTCAACAGCAACCGGGAGATTGGCTGATTCCAGGAGACTCCCGGCCAATCCGGGAGGGTTGGCAATCCTATACTCTGTCAACACAGATTTTGTAAATAGCTATGCAACATTTTATTTAGTATTTCCGATGCAAAACTAAGATACGACACTGCAGGTTCTGCAGTGCTGGATTTTCACCTTCACAAATCTCTACGTTCTGTGAAACTTGGCAAAACAGATACTGTAAATATTATGTAAACATTACACTCAGTCATGCATTTGGTGACTTGTGTTCATTTGTTTGTACCTTAATAAAAGCCACCTCATTTTATGCAATATCATAATTTGCATAATTTCTCATAAGTGAAATAATATTTTAAGAATAAAAGAGTCAATTTTCTATTTACAACATTAAAAAGTCAAAAACAATAAGTATTTCTACTTTTGGAAAAAACATTTAATGCATGCATACAGAAAACCTATTCAATGTACTGATGATGGCTAAACATTTGAAATTAACATAGCTGCTAAAATCCAACACATTATTCATACAAAAATCAAAATTCTTCCTAATTATGCTTAGTGACACTACTGTTAAAGAAATACTAATATAATGGCTCCAAGTTTTCAAAAACTTGAAACAACCTTTTCATGAGGTTAGAGAAAAAGTGTGGTAGATTACTAGCAGCACACATCCCCTGGAAAAAATGTAAAGCTAGAAATAGTCAAATAACATATTAAAGAGACAGTAAATGTTTATCTTGTCGAGTTTTACATAGCACATTTTAAATGCACTCACTTGTCGTAATTGTGATTCTTCTCGAAGTTGTCTGCGTGCTTCATTGTACATTTCATCCAGACCCTGTCTGGAGTGTCTGTATGTTTGAAGCTCTGCCTCAACATCCACTTTGGTTACCTATGCAGAAATTACAGATGTATCTGGTTTTCATTACAAATATAACAATTGTTATAATTAAATGTAACAAATTTGTAGAGAGAAAAGTTGCTTACATTCACAATGGACTACGTAAGCACAATACACACACACTGAACCAACAGGATCCAAGGTTGTCTACATTATGTATTTATCACTTTTAAATTGAGAATTACATTTTAGCTTAAATACGTGAACCTTGAAAATTAAATGAATTTATTGCAGACTTGTGATTCAACAAGTTACTTATGCACATGCCTAATTTTTAAGCATGTGAGTAATCCCATTAACCGGAAGGAGACAACTCACATGCTTAAAATTAGACATGTGCATAAGTATGTTGCTGAACTGAGGCCCAGAAGAGTAATTTGTGGTACAATATTTCACCAGGTCTCTGAGTAACCCCAGAAGCATTTAATTCACCCAGTTATTTAAATATCACTGATATAGGGGTCTCCAGGTTATCCAGAAATATTTTTCAATAACAATCTAAAATTATTCATAATGACTGTTCAGAGTAGTACAGGATGTACAATATCCCAGTCCAACGCACAAATTATTTTCTGACAAGTTTTACAGTAAAATATTACCTTAACCACTGCAAACAGAAAGTTGTAAAATCTCAAAGATCAAACGCAAAACGTAAGGAAAAGAATCCTAAAAATTTGTTTAGAATAATAAATTAATCTAGATTGATTCCTACAATATTTAGATAAACTTTATCATAAGACATAAAGGTAACAAATCACATAGGCCTATTCCTTGCATAAAACTGTTTTAAGTCAGTTCAATTATTTGCTGAGATATAGTTGCCAACATAAAACATTCAAATGATAAGAAGCCAGGTAACATTTAATTATACTGAATTCACATACCTCTAGGTGATGCTGTGTTTTCATTAAAATAAGTGTGTTTTCACTTCTTAACTGATGATTTTCTTCCTGAAGTTTAATTATATTGTTTTTTGCTATTGCTAACTAAAAGGGAAAAAAAGAGAGAAAGTGTATGACTATTTTTGTGAACACTAAAAAAAACCAAAATTATTCTAATATGTACATAGCTAACATTACTGCTTACTCTAGTCTCATAGTGTGCTGAATAAGAGATCTATTTTGTGTGCATGCACAACTACCATTTATAGTAGGAGTCACATACTGAGGTGAGAATAAATCTAAATTAGGACCATCTTTTTTATTTTACATCTCTTGTACAGAGGAACAGCTTTTCAGTGGTACTCTATTCTAGCTAAAGTATCCATACTTCCTTTTTTCCCCCTTGTTAAAGTTCTTATATATACTTCAAGTTAAATGGATATATTTTCTGTTTTTAAGCAGTTTCTCAACATGAACCTCTAGGTATACTGTATGCTGCTTTATGCAGCATCTTACACAAGCAAATTTCCTGGGTAAGGAAGGATAAATCTGGGACACTGAGGACAGGAAAGTCCTACAGTGTGACAGAATAAAGAAAGGCCTCAGCAGAGTATTTCTGGGCCCCTACTTAATCCTGGTAGTTAGGCAGAAGACTTGTCAGAAGGGGTGGACTATGGGGAGAGCAGAGGATTTGTAAGAGTTTGCAAGAAACATGGGTCGGGGGTAAGGGGCGGTATACATTCTGTTCATTATCTGGATTTGTTCACATCCAGAATAAACTAACAGCCTCCTCAACTGCTAAATGTAGAAATATCACATTTCCCCCATTTCTCTTTCAGGGCAAGTAAGAAAGAAGGGGAAAAACTGATCTTCCACTCCTAATCCCAAATATATTATCTACTTCAAGTATTAAGAGATTGGAAACTACGGGATGTTAAAACAAAAAACAAAAAAACCTGGCACAGAGAGGCAGACAAACTTATACCTGCATATTGTGAATGAGCTTTTAGAAAAAGAGTCCTTTGGCTTGAGCTGAGATAATTATACATTGTCCGCTCAACTAGATCTAGCTCTCCTGTGGATTGGTAGTCTGAAGAATGCCTTTACTCAATGGTCTCCACAAAATGGTACTGACAGCAACTCCCAGCACATTTAAGATAGGGTTCTTCTATACACTCTTAAATCCTGCTGTGAAACTGCAATGTTTTACAGCATTTTACTAATCCAATAGTCCACTGGGATAAAGCTGACCACAAGTCCCAGCAACCATTGTGTTATTTCTTCAGACTGAGTCAAATGTAGCTGAATATATTAGGCAGTGTTTCAGTACAGTTAATTAGACTGTACTTGTAGAGGGAGGAAAAAAGGAAACATGTTCACCACTGGTTAAAAAATAGTATTACACATTACTAAGAAACAATACCTCTTCAATTAGTTTAGTGTTTGACTTCTCTAATGAATCAACTCTTGTATGAAGGCTGCTGACTGTGCTACTGAAAGTAATAAAGAAATCAATATTCAGTATTACACCAAAACTCATACAAACACACACAAAAAGGTTTACGCCAAGCACTAAGTTTATTGGCAACAGCCAACAGGACTGCATCATTGCAGTTGGAAATTGTTTCTAAAAATGTTACAGATTATTTCCCTTTAATGAATACTTATGTGATACGCTCTCCTCCCTGCAATGCCGGTCACTGTTGACAACATTGTCAACATCCCTGCCACCCAAGCCCATGATTTGGGTGTCATCTTTGACTACTGCTCCCTCATCCTTCACAACCACACGGCATCCAAATTTTGCTGCTTTGTCCTCGATGTGTTTTCCAAAGCTGTCTGCTTTTTTCCCATACAATTAAAACTCTTGTCCAGATTCTCAGCACTTCCCCAGCTTAACTACTGCATACTACTTCTCCCTGGCCTCCACTCCCCCTTAAGGTCCATTCAAAACACAGCTACTAAAATCATTTTCCTTCTCCATTATTCTATTCATATCATTTCCTCCTTGAAATCCCTCCTTTAGCCCTCCTTTTCCCACCACATTATTTTCAAGCTTTTTGATTTTATCTTTAAGGCCCTTCACAGCTGTGTCCCTTCCTACTTATCTGCTCATCTCTTATATAGCTTCTCCCTCCCACCAAGCCTCCTCCACTGTCTGACTGCCAATTTCTCCCACAAGCATCTTCCAAGGCTGACTTTTATGCATTGAACAATCCCCAACCAAGTCTGTAAAGACAAGTGCTCTTTCCTCCAAACCTACTTCTACTATGATGCCTATAGAAGACTCCCAACTGATAATCAATGGCTAGATGGAGGGTTGATTGTTATTTATATGTGCATGGGAGCAGCTAGTTTGTGGGGTGTTCGGTACAGAAAAGCGTATGTGCATGTGTGTATTTTTTTAAAAATATCTTGAAATCATCAAGTTATAAACATAGGCAACCGATCAATTCACTTGGTCTTATTGCAGCAATTCTACTCACTCGCCCTCCCCCACTTTCATTTGTTACATCCCATTTGTTGTCTCATACCTCTTATTAGAGAATTCATAGGTGTCTGTACAGTGTTTAGCAGAATGGGGCCTCACTACTAATTGGGGCATCTTGTTGCTATCGCAATACAAATAATAAATAATAATCAACAAGCACATTACTGATGTTTAAAATAACAATGTGATAGAGATTGAAATAATATAGTTTCATATAGCTTCTATAGATATTTTTAACTTCTGTTGCAGTAGTTTTTTCCTTTACACAGCAATACTGTGAACATCCTCACTGTGCATTAAGCTGGGGGAGGGGAGGCTTTGTTCAGCTGGACGGAAAAGGAAAATTACCCCCTTTAACTGCAGGAATGAGGCTTGTATGGCAGGCTGGTGGAAAGGGGGCCATTGCCCGCTTAAGCCCCTGACCCCAAGCGGATTACCTTTTCCAGATAGGAAGCAGGAAAACAGTACAACCGGACCAAGCTGGCAGGGGGATGACACTGCTCCTTTCCCCTACAGCTGACCACAAGAAATGGGAAGTATTCATAGGCAGGGAAGTTCCGAGAGAGCCCTCTTTAACCGGACCAGGTGAGCAGTGCCCCAGTTACCGTCCCACCCATGGAAGGAGTTATAATACAAAGTTTTGTCATGATCCACTGCAGGCATTACAGTCAGTCCCCTCTTCTCTAGGGAGGAATTGGGGGGGGAGGGGAACAGATGGCTGAGAAGGAATTTTCCCTCACTGCCAGATTGGCCTAGGCGAGGTGGATTTTTCACCTTCTCCACAGCAAGCTGGGGATCTACTGGGGTAAAAAAGGGGGGTTAGCCCTTAAAGTTGCAACTCATGGAAACTTGTGGTAGATGTCTGGTGAAGGTACTCTGTTGGAATGGATATGGCTCAGATAAAAAATGGATGGGTAAAGGATTTAAAGGAGGCATGCTTTAAAAGTGAGGGGGGACAAGAGGGAAGGGACTTCTACAACTTCCATGGCAGAGAGTCAAATCCCCCCTTCTTTACAGCCCCCTTTACACTCATCTAGAGGGGGCAGTGGCAGAGTCCCAGCTGTGGGATGGCAAAGAGGGACGGATGACAATAGCCCCTGAGTATAAGGAAATGATCATGGAATTACCTGCACTGTACAATTGTATCTGCTGGGTAGTCCCAGATATTTTAAGAATAAAGTTACAGCCTAATTAAACCCAAATCCTGTGTCTCCTGTCGTTCCGGCATAGCTGGACAATGAAAGTTTACACAGCAACACTCTACTGGGGGATTTCAGCAATGGAAGAATGGTACTTCCCAAAATCAGAACAGAGGCTCGTCTCAAGTCCCAGTAGGTTCTGCTCTTAAAAGTAAAGATTTAATAAAAGGAGTTTTTGATAGTACATTATATGGGATATGGATATTTCACGTCAAATGTTTATGAAAATAAAATATCATCTGAAAATCTTTTCCCATCCTTTGATTTTGTATGGTAAACTGGTAAAGGTGCTACCAGAAGAAGTGATCCTTAATCCCTTTTTTCACTAATCAAAAAAATATTACCTCCATCATATTCCATATTTTAACCTCTGCTGTACCTAATATTGGAAACCTGAACTCAACAATCATGTGGAAATCAGTTCCTGAGAAAGTTGCTCTCTTTGTTTTACCACATGCTTCATTCACTCCATCTAAATTAAATTCCATCTACTTTTCCTAAGGCTTGGTCTACACTCACCCCCCAAATCGAACTAAGGTACGCAACTTCAGCTACGTGAATAACGTAGCTGAAGTTCGAAGTACCTTAGTTTGATCTTACCTCGGTCCACACGCGGCAGGCAGGCTCCCCCGTCGACTCCGCGGTACTCCTCTCGTCTAGCTGGAGTACCACAGTCGACGGCGAGCACTTCCGGGTTCGACTTATCGCGTCCAGACAAGACGCGATAAATCGAACCCAGAACTTCGATTGCCAGCCGCCGAACTAGCGGCTGGGTATAGACGTACCCTAAGAAAAGGCAGCATATTCACAGGCCTTCAAATCAGGATCTGTCCAAATACCAATTTTATGTGCATTAGAAAAAGCTATCTCCTCGGTACGAAGTACCACTTACACTGGCTATTTGTTGGGAAACTCTTCTTTCTAGAAAACTCTCTTTCTAGATCTCCAGTGTACACAGTTATGGTCAGGGTCCACCAAACCATTCATAGAATCATAGGAGTGGAAGGGACCTAGAGAGGTCATCTAGTCCAGTCCCCTGCACTCATGGCAGGACTAAGTATTAGCTAGACCATCCCAGACAGGTGTTTGTCTAACCTGCTCTTAAAAATCTCCAATGATGGAGATTCCGCAACCTCCCTAGGCAATTTATTTCTGTGCTTAACCACCCTGACAGGTAAGAAGTTTTTCCTAATGTCCATCCCAAACCTCCTTAGCTGCAATTTAAGCCCATTGCTTCTCGTCCTATCCTCAGAGGTTAAGAAGAACAATTTTTCTCTCTCCTCCTTGTAACAACCTTTTATGTACTTGAAAACTCTTATGTCCCCTCTCACTCTTCTCTTTTCCAGACTCAACAAACCCAATTTTTTCAATCTTCCCTCATAGGTCATGTTTTCTAGACCTTTAATCATTTTTGTTGCTCTCCTTCTATTCAGACTTGATCCACAATATTACAACCACAACCAAAGTGCCCTGGAGGTTGGCGTGAGAAATAATTTATGGAATCCTTGAGCAATCATAATTTTCTCACATTGCTAGGGTGGAATGTTGATGTGGTTACACATCACATGCTGTAAGGCCAAAGATTTTCTGGAGATGCGCAGTCACCTGTTCCTGTGGAGTCCTGTAAACACAATGTAGTTCAAGAACTTTCAGTTCTGCCCTGTTTGTTTTTTTCCTGTTCTCCAGATCAAAAGGAAAAGGGGCCTAGCCATCGAATCAACAAACTGACATTTGACTCCTCTCCTCCAGTCTCCTCAGGAGAGGATATATGTCTGCCAATTTCTCTCCATCCTCAGACTAAGTAGGAAGGATTTTTAATCTTTTCCCCTGAACTTTTGTCCTGCCAACGTTATGATATACGAGCAGAGGGAGAAAGATGTGTTTTAACCTGGAGGAAGTCTGGACTGACACACATACCCCAATAAATACATACTTTAGTTGTCTGTTCAGTTCCTCTACATAATTCTTTTGGTCCAAAATTGCAGCAATCTGGACATTTCTAAAGAGAGAAGGCAATTAATTTTTAGCAAGCACATTTGTCTATATGTTTTTGAATGTAGATGTATCTTCTATAAGCATATGAAATATATACATATTAAAAATTCTATGAAAATACACGGAAGTGGCCTGATTTTATTGTCAAAAACAACAATCTCTACAATCATATTGTGTTGTAATAAGTACTATGTGACAAAAACTGATACTGCGTTATTGCAAATAAATGTAAATTTATATTTAAAATTTGTGAGCAAGTGTAAACTTAAAGAAAATAGCCCATTTTAAAGTCAACTAATTGGTTGAAGGAACATGGTCCAGTGGATTAGAGACAAAACTATTATGCACAAAATTGTTTAGTGCATTTTAGAAATCTAAACCAATAAAATAAATATGGTAAATATTAAAAATTTTCAACAAATCATTTAACTTCATATGCAAAATCCAAGGTGTTTTGACAGAACATACCTTTCTTTACTCCCAATATCATCTTCATTCTTTAAATACATAGAGAAATCAATCACACCAACCTAGAATGAATAATGTTGGAATAAACTGTGTTGTTATTCATGCCTTTATATGTATTTAACTACCAAAACCTCGGTTAGTCCTACTTCTCTAAGAGCGATCCAGCCTTGACACATTTTCTTGGAGTATGCAAACATGAATGCTAACATTTTTTCAGTTGATCTTTATTTTAAGAAATTATTTGAAAAACAAAAATCTTAAATTTTCTGTTTCAATACATACGATCAGTTTAGAATCATATAACCTTAGGAGCACAATGAAAACATTCAATGAATCCTTTTTGGTTCTTGGAGGAACATGTTTATTATATTCGAGTGGGTTCATCCAAGGAGTAATAGGAAAAAAATTATTTATATCTCATTATTGGAACTCTATTAAATACATGGCAATCCTACTCATTCTAAGTAAATAGATTTTTAACACTCCTTCCACTACACTTTTGTTCTCCCCTTCTTCAGTTCCACAGTATTTCTTGCCAAACTGCATGACTTTCCATCCTAATTGACTCCCATAATTCCAACCGCTTATACACAACCTTAGCCTTCCTTTAAGAACCCTTGATATCCTGCTCCCATCAGCACTAGATTCTGTCAATTTTTTCAAAGAGAAAACATACAAGATGTACGGTTTTCCTTCCACTCTTTCCCCACCTCTCTACACAACTTTTCCTCCTCCAACACCGTCACAAATGTCAAAGTTTTGGTCTATAACTCTTCAAACCTGTCCCCTTGGATCCTATCCCACCCTGACTACTGACCTCCCTTACCTTCACTCTCATGTCCTCCCTGACTGCCTGTTTCCAGCACAACGCACGCATGATCTGATCTTCACCATCCGCGCAAAACAAACTACTTTTGTCCCACTTGCCTAACTACTGCTTCATCTCCCTTCTTCCCTTCACCTCAAAAGGATGGGTTATTCACCTTGTAGTAAAACTAGAGTTCTTCGAGATGTGTTGTCCCTATGTGTGGCACACATCAGGTTGAGCATGCACTCCATACATCAGGACCACAGACTTCTCCCTAGCAGTGTCCATCTGGTCTGTGCATGTGCCCTCACTCTCCTCATGCTCTGCACCGAGGGAATAAAGAGGGCTGCCAGACCACAGTCATCTTAATTCCTTCTCTACCACCAGTTCCCAGTAAGAGACCAGATAGCAGGGAAGGAGGGCAGGTGGTGCACTATACATAGTCATTAAGACGGGTTGGATCACAGAAACCCCCTTGGAAACTGCCAACCGATGTGCCAAGACTACTTCTGCCCCTGCTTTCTCTGCCAGCTCAGGACTCCAGCACCCTGTCTTGTTGAGCCAGACACGCCAATCCGCTCCAACACAGACCCAGGGTCTGAACCATGTGCCCCAAAACTGCAGACTTAACCTGAAAGCAGCTTACAGAAGTGTTCCTGTCTTGAACACTCAGATGCCCAACTCCCAATGGGGTCTAAACCCCAAATAAATCCGTTTTACCCCATATAAAGCTTATACAGGATAAACTCATAAATTGTTCGCCCTCTATAACATTGATAGAGAGATATGGACAGCTGTTTGCCGCCGCCCCCCCCCCCACGTATTAATATACTCTGGGTTAATTAATAAGTACAAAGTGATTTTATTAAATACAGAAAGTAGGATTTAAGTGGTTCCAAGTAATAGCAGACAGAACAAAGTGAATTACCAAGTAAAATAAAATAAAACATGCAAATCTAAGCCTAATATAGTAATAAAACTGAATACAGATAAAATCTCAACCTCAGAGATGTTTCAATGAGTTTCTTTCACAGACTGCACGCCTTCCTAGTCGGGCACAGTCCTTTCCCCTAGTACAGCCCTTGCTCCAACTCAGGTGGTAGCTAGGGGATTTCTCATGATGGCTGCCCCCTTTGTTCTGTTCCACCCACTTATATATCTTTTGCATAAGGCGGGAATCCTTTGTCCCTCTGGGTTCCCACCCCTCCTTCTCAATGGAAAAACACCAGGTTAAAGATGGATTCCAGTTCAGGTGACATGATCACATGTCACTGTAAGACCCCCTAGCCTTCATTCCTCCCAGCCTGACTCACAGGAAGGCCTGCCTGCAAACAGAGCCATCCACAGTCAATTGTCCTGGTTAATGGGAGCCATCAAAGTTCCAGACCACCATTAATGGCCCACACTTTGCATAATTACAATAGGCCCTCAGAGTTATATTTCATACACCTCTACCCCGATATAACGTCACCTGATATAACATGAATTCTGATATAACGCGGTAAAGCAGTGCTCTGGGGGGGCAGGGCTGCGCACTCCGGCGGATCAAAGCAAGTTCGATATAACGCAGTTTCACCTATAACACGGTAAGATTTTTTGGCTCCCGAGGACAGCGTTATATCGAGGTAGAAATGTATTTCTAGTTTCAGATACCAGAGTGATACATTTATACAAATAGGATGACCACACTTAGTAGATTATAAGCTTTGTAATGATACCTTACAAGAGATCTTTTGCATGAAGCATATTCCAGTTATATTATATTCATACTCATTAGCATATTTTCATAAAATCATATAGAGTGCAACGTCACAGGCATAACACATCTCAAAGAACTCAAGTTACTACAAGGTAACCCATTCGTCTGTCCCTGTGCAGTGCACTTCAGGTGATTCACAAGCAGTGCCTGAAGTCCTATAATACAACAAACTATAGAACTACCCTGCCCAAAAGAAACATCAGAGGTGGCTGCTTGCATCAGCAGCTAATGTCTAACAAAAGAGCGTACAGAACTCAAAGTTGCTTCTCTCCAGATGGGTGTAAGAGGGATGTCTCTCTCAGGGAAGCTACCAATGTTGTCTCAGCTCTCATTGAATGTGCTCTCACACTGCCTTCAGGAGGCTTACTGTACATCTCATAGTAGAGTAGGATGAATCCCAAGATCTATTTTGACAGTCTCTGGGAGGAAATGGTCCCTTCTCCTTTCCTTCATTCCACAAATGATACAAAGAGCCTAGGAGACTCTCAAAATGATTTTGTCCTTTGCAGGTAAAAGGCAAGAGTCCTACGCACATCCAGTGAGTGTCATGCCACTTCTCTGTTAGAGAAAGGCTTAGGCTAGAATACCAGTAAATGGAAGCTTTGGTTAATGCCTTCAGGATGAACTTTGGATGCAGTGTCGTGGACACCGTATTCTTAAAAAAACTGTACTGACAGGTCCTGCCATGAGCACCCCTAACTCCAACTCTTCTGGCCAATGTGATCGTGACCAAAAACACTACCTTCATAGAGATATGCATCAGAGAGCAAGATGCTAGAGGCTTCAACTGTGATTTGGTCAGGGTTGATAAAACAAAGTTAATGTCCCAGGCTGGTACCAGTTTAGCCACCAAAGGGATAGGTCTAGTCATACCCTTCAAGAAGTGGGAAGAGACTAGGTGAGGAGAAAAAAAAAGATATTTGATGACTGGTGGATTAAATGCACTGATGGCTGCCAAGGTAGCCCCAGGGAACTAATAGATAGCCCCATGGATTTTAAGGGCAGAAGGTAGTCCAACATGTCCAGAATCTGTGGACATGTCACACCAAAACATAAATCTTTTCCACCTGCTTCATAATGTAGCCAATAGAGCTAGCTTAGCCTTTTATTTAGCAGCAATGCAAGGAACCTACAGGCTTGTATACTGTAAGACATTCGCTTAAACAGGTTAGCATAAGTGAAGCAGGCCTGCGAACCTTAGCATAGATAACATGGCCTAGATTTTGGGGAACTGGGAAAAGCTTGCTTACGAGGGGAGTTGGTACATAATGATGCCAAGCATCCCCAGGAATACAGAACTGATATTAGGCTTGGTTATTTTAGGATAAAATTGTTGGCAGATGTTTAATCACAAACTTGCTTTAGCAATAGTTGACGTATATGGTAATGAGCCAAAAGGCATTATTATGCTAACCTATAGTATAAAGGCATCCCAATGTTATTAGGGTGAGGAAGTTAGATATGGATATGGGAGGCTGGGTATCTAAATAAATATTCATGATAGACCCCAGGCCCCATAATAGGCAAAGCCACCATGTAACGGGTCCTAGCTTTCCATCATTTACTCTTCGCTCTTCATAGTTATTATCTATTATCCTTTGGGCATTAGGGGTCTGGACCATTGGACTCATTTGGCATGCCAGGGACAGAGCTGGCCCTTTGTTTCTAACCACCAGATCCCCAAGGAAGGGTAAGTATATGAGCATATGCAAAGAATGATACCAAAGATATCCCTAATGCTATAATATTGCTATTTGTTTATGAGGTTTGGAGCTTTCTTGTCTTTACTGATTGTGTTAATAAAAGTGGCTAAGGCTTTGCTTTGCCTTCAGTGTCTTTGCCATATACTCTGGGGTTCCCCACAAGATATTGAACTTCTTAGTTTTAATTCTGTTGTTTCTGATTCGGGGATAGAACCCTTTTACCCCCAGCTCATTAAATTAGTATCAATTGGCAATCAATGCAATTATTAATCTTTAAAGAATCAGGCTACAATAACAATTCCTGGTAGAGTCCTTTCTACTTCTGCTCAGGATGGTCTGGATGTAAGCTGAGTAGGCTTTTTCTATTTCCGACATCCATCCAAATACCATGCCCTCAGAGAAGCGTGACTGGGTTGGGGTGGTAAGTCCTTTCCTCGTACTATTCATAGATTCTAAGGTGAGAAGGGACCATTGTGATCATCCAGTCTGACCTTCTATCTAGCACAGGCCATAGAACTTCCCCAAAATAATTCCTACAGCAGATCTTTTAGATATCTTAATTTAAAAATTGTCAGTGATGGAGAATCCACCACAATCCTTGGTAAATTGTTCCAGTGGTTAATTACTCTCACTGCTAAAAATTTATGCTTTATTTCATCTAGCTTCAACTTCCAGCCATTGGACTGCGTTATACCTTGCTCTGCTAGACTGAAGTGCTCCTTATTAAATATTTGTTTCGCACATAGATATTTACAGACTATAAGCAAGTCACAATCTTCTCTTTGTTAAGCTAAACAGACGGAGCTCCTTGAGTCTGTCACTATAAGGCATGTTTTTCTAATCTTTTAATCGTTCTTGTGACTGTTCTCTGAATCCTCTCCGATGTATTAACATCCTTCTTGAATTGCGGGCACAACAACTGGACACAATATTCCAGCAGTGATTGCACCAGTTCCAAATTCAGAAGTAAAACAACAACATCTCTACTCCTAGTTGAGATTCCCCTATTTATGCATCCCAAGATCACATTAGCTCTTTCAGTCACAGCATCACACTGGGAGCTCGTGTTCAACTGATTATTCACCATCACCCTCAAACCTTTTTCAGGGTCACTGCTTCCCAGGATTGAGTCCCCCAACCTATAAGTAAGTATAGCCTACATTCTCTGTTCTCAGATGTATACATTTACATATAGCCGTATTAAAACACATAGCTTACTCAAGCACAGTTTACCAAACAATCTAGACTGCTCTGAATCAGTGACTTGTCCTCTTCAATATTTACCACTCCCCTAATTTTTGGGTCATCTGAAAACTATCAGTGGTGATTTTATGTTTTCTTCCAGGCACTGATAAAAATGTTAAATAGTGTAGGGCCAAAAACCAAACCCTGTGGAACCCCACTGGAAACAGACCCACTCAATGACAATTCTCCATTTACAGTTACATTTTGAGATCTGTTTTAATCCATTTAATGTGTGCCATGTTAATTTTATATCATTCTAATTTTTTAATCAAAATGAGGCTGTTCTAGATTTGATTTTGACAAATAGGGAGGAACTGGTTGAGAATTTGAAAGTGGAAGGCAGCTTGGGTTAAAGTGATTGTAGCACGGCCCCCTTTGCTCCTGCTTCTGCTGCGTTCACAAATCACTCCGACCCTGGGGCTTAGCAATCACCGGTGCAGTTTATTTCCAGCATGCACTCCCACCACCTTCTCACCACATACAGCTTGGGTTGTCAGCCTTAAGGACTTCTCAACTTCTGCACCCAGGAGGGAAGAGCTACCGCTCTCCTTCCACTCTTTGGCTTCCCCCTTACTTACTTCCTCTGGGCCTGTATGTAGCCTCAGGCTAATTAGACTGGCAGCTGTTTACCATTCACCAATCAGGTGCAGGTTTCTCTAGCCAGCTCCAATTTACCTCCCTAAATGAAACTCAAAGAAGAGTCCTACAAAAAGCAGAAATTAGGTCAAATTACAAAGGATGAATATAAACAAATAACACAAGTATGTAGGGACAAAATTTGAAAGGCCAAGGCACAAACGAGATTAAACTAGCTATAGACGTAAAGGGCAACAAGAAAACATTCTACAAATACATTAGAAGCAAGAGGAAGATCAAAGACAGTGTAGGCCCATTACTCCATGATGAGGGGGGAGGGGAAGAGTAAAAGAAAATGTGGAAACGGCAGAAATGCTAAATACTTTTTTGTTGCAGTTTTCACCAAAAAGGTTAGTGGCGATTGGACATCTAACATAGTGAATGCCAGTGAAAATGAGGTAGGATCAGTGGCCAAAATAAGGAAAGAACAAATTAAAAATTACTTAGACAAGTTAGATGTCTTCAAGTCACCAGGGCCTGATGAAATACAACCTAGAATACTCAAGGAGCTGAATGAGGAGATATTTGAATCAGTAGAGATTATCTTTGAAAAGTCATGAAAGTGGAGAGATTCCAGAGAACTGGAAAAGGGCAAATATAGTGCCCATGTATAAAAAGGGGAATAAAGACAATCTGGGGAATTACAGACTGTTGGGGTTGACCACAAATTACCTTGGGCTAATGTTACAAAATGGTTTGGAGGGACCTAGTAGTAAACTGGCTTTGACCAGCCGAGCTGGCTTGCAGCCACTTAGCTAAATAAACAAATTAAAGAAAGCCTAAAACTGTAAAGTGTAAAAATAAAAAACAGCAGTGTTTCCTGCCAGAGCCAGCTTGTGGGTGAATATGCCCTCCCTTAGAAAGAGGTGATAATTAAAAGCAGCTATAAGAATTGCTTTAAACAAACAGTCTCACCTACGGACCCTGGCCTTGTGCGTGCCCAGGAATTCCCCACGCTGAAGCAGCGCCTGCTACGAGTCAAGGACAAGGCAGGAGGGTCCGGGACTGTCCGTAGCAGAAGGGGGGTAAGCATTCATTCCTGCCCTACATATTGGTGACGACCTACAGATACTGCACCTGGAAGGGATGTGGCAGTACAGAGAGGTGTCATGGTAATCTGTAACCAGGAAGGGCTTGTGGCATTTGATGCAGCTTTTAAATCTGGGGATTCTTGTCATACTCTCCTGCAACCACAGGAAGACCAGGGTTGGAGGGAGGGAGGGACGGAATGTGTGTGTCAGTTACAGAGATCGCCTCCAACCCAGGGGGGAGATCGCAAAGCTACAGGACAGTTTTTTATATAGTTAGGGTACCAAACCCCTAAAAACTAACTAATTATAAGAAATTTTTTTAAACTATTTTGAGAGAACCTGAAGAAACCAGCACAAATACCATAGCTCCATTCTAAAGCACAAACAGTAAGAAGAAACTAAGATGATAGTGGTCAGGCTGCCCTATTTATCTCCTTGGTGCGAAGCACAAGGAGTGCGAGGGCACATGCGCAGACCAATGGACATTGCTAGGGAAGAAACATCTCTAGTCTGGGTGCAAGGAGCACATGCACAATCTGAAGTGCACCACAAATAAGGACAATCCTAAGAAGAAGAAATAATTGAACAGGCAATTTACAATCATTCCCTTGAGTTCCTCTCCCTTGACTCCATCCTTAATTCCCTTCAACAAGACTTCTGCCCTCTTCACTTCACCAAGGTCTCTAGCAACCTCTTCAGGGCCATATCTCAGGGCCCTTAGTCCACCTTCATCCTCTGATCTCTCTGCTACTTTTGAAACTACTGAGAATAAATGATTGCTTGAAATCTTGCCCTCCTTTGGCGTTCACAACACTGTTCTCTCCTAGTTCTCCTCATGCTCTTTTAATTGCTCCTTCACTGTTTCTTTTGACATATCCCCCTCTTCCTGTCTACTCTCATTTTCCATGGACTCTGTCCTTTGTTGCACCCCACCATACACACTTCTCTCTCACATGGATTCAGTCTTTACACTCTTGACTGACATATCTATCTTTTCATTCTGGATTTGTCTCCCAGGATCCAGACTCTTGTCTCAGACTGGCTCCCAGATGTCTTGCTGTCAGCTTAAACTTCACTTGCATTCTCTATCTTCCACCGTCTCCACACCCTTCTATTTTTCTTCACTGCTGACACCACTACCATTCTCCCTACCCTAATTCTTTTCCCCATATCCAGGTTGTGCCCAAATCCAGGTTTTGTCCACACAGCTAAAACTCTTGTTCATGCCCTCATTTTTCATAACTTCACTACTTCACCACTTCCTTAATCTGGCCTGACATCCATACCACCCTATTCCAGTCTATACCAAAAACAAATACTGAGATCATCTTCCCATGCCTATTATTCTGATCATATTAAGTCCTCTCCCCACTACCTATTTCTTTTCCAACACATCAATAGAGACCTGCGCAGATACAAAATTTGTATCCACATCCAATCTGTGATCTGCAAAAATAAAGCAGATATCCACAAATTTGCAGGGCTCTACACACCAAGTTCAAGCTTCTTGTATTAATTTTCCAAGACCCTTCATAACTGTCACTCTCTACTTATCCTAGCTTGCCTCTGACAGCATCACCTCCAGCCTTCTTCACTGTCAATGATGCCCTATTTGTCAGCTTCTCTTACATCGACCCTTACACACAGAATGCCACTCAAACTCATCTGTAAGGCCACTATCTTCTCCTTCAAATCACTCTTCAAGACTCATTTCTACCCTGTCTCCTACAACAAATTAGCAAACTAACCAAGACTGGATAGAGAGATATTTGGGGATACTTGAATTTATGTAATTTTTAAAAAATGTATAAAATATACATGCATTTTTTTATTGGCAGTTGTATGTTGCTTGTCATCTTAGATTATAAAATTTTCAAGGCACAGACTATGTCTTCTAATAAGTGCCTAGCACACTGCAGGCAGTACAATAATACAAGTAAACAACAGCAACAACTGCAGACAACTTACCCCTATGATTCAATAGTGAACTGTTATTTAGTAAAAGGCAGTTCTACTTAACTATGGAAATTTGGAATTCAGTAATTATCACTAAAAGTGTTTAATTTCAAATAATTTTGTAAAGAAAATTCGTTGTCATGGATGAACAGATGGGAACATATTTATAAGCAGCTATGCATCTGCCTCTATAAAAGCATTGGCCATTTTCTTTAAAAGTTCCTTTCAAAAGACTGGGTGGTTAAAGAAGTTTATAATTCACTTACTTGTGAATCTAAGTCTTCTCCCTTTACACACAGGTTAGCATCTATCACATTTAACCCAACCAAGAGCCCAACAATAACTGCTCCTTCTTCTTCCATCATCAGTGCATGATATTCATAAAATTCACTGTAAAGTAATAAAACATCTTGTATCAGAATAATTATTTATTTCCTGCAACATTTTAACATATTGAGATTGAGTACGTCACTGGTAAATGGAGTGTAAATCTGAATTGTTCCTGTAATTTTAGCCTTACTCTGATGTTCTTAAAGATTAATCAGATCTGTACATACTGTGACTTCATCACTGATGTTTAACTCAGAGGAAAGCAGGGACACTAGAAAATGCAGGAAAAGTGGTAATTATGGGAAATAGTGCCACATGTTTTGTAAAAATGCTAAAGGAAATCTTGCCATATTTGTGAAATGTTCTGGGGATACTTCACGCATAGCGTATTTGAATTTTTAAGAGAATCGGGGCTTGAAATCAAGGAGTAAGAAATCAGACGAGACTGGTAGGAGGAGGAAAAGGGCAGGAAGAATTTCCTAAAGCTGTAGCAATCTTTAAAGAAATGTATGCTCCATTAACAAAGTTACATGCCCAACAGACACAGGGGCAAAATCTTATCTTCTCTTCCTACCTCTCTGAATTTATTTTTGTTAAAAACAAAGTTTTGGGATGTATGCAACAGAAATACAGTGCTCTCAACAGAACAGCGTGACAGACCATGACGAACACAAACTGAAAGCAATAGTTAAGAGTCAAATCACAGATATTTTGTTACAATATATCTAGTGTAACTTCATGCACAACTAGTCTCATTGATTTCAGTAGGACTATACACATATGAAGTTTACACATATGTTTTTAAGATCAGGAGCTTAATATTTAGAGTAGGGGTATATTGCAAATTCCTGAGTTACTGAGATGCACTGCCCACTTCAAGATTAAGCCCCTTGAAATATATAGGGTAAAATTTTCTAGAAGATTTTTCTTAAGAAAAACTATTTCTGGTAACTGTTACAACCCAATTCCAGAACTACATGCCTGGATAGGCCAGTAACTGCTAGTTTATAAAAAGTATCAATTCACAGCAACTCCACTGGTAAACTTTCTCATAACGCTTTGGTTTTCTTATCGTGTGCACTCAATTACTTTTTATATTTTAAATTTTATGTATTTAAAGTACTTGTAAGCAAACTGTATGATAAGGACTAGGTGTGACACAATGGAAATTTTTTGTAACATTTTTATGAGTCCTGTTTGTGTCTCAGTTTCCCCTATATGCTGCATTGTTACCCAGTGGGTGGAAAGTGACTGTTTGCTTTCAGGACAGGCTGAGACACATAGGTGTGGATGTCACCTAGCTGTCTGGGCTTTAGTCTCCATATCAGTGGAGCATCTGAGAAGACAATGGCAAATCCAATTGCCAGGACATTGACACCTAACAACCAATGACCTAGAGGGATAAAGATTTTCCCATCTCTCTTTAGGGAACCTGAACAACAATCCCAAATTCGAGATCAAAGTACTGGAGAGGTTGAGGTGGGGGATAACGGCTACTCACCTAGAGTCTGACAAAGGAGGTCAGACAGAGAGACAGAGCTTGAACCAGTGGGTTCTCTACAGCTTGGCTGGGCTCTGGCCTAACCAGAATGGACTATGCTTTAACCTTCAGTTCTCTATACTACCCTAAAGACTTCCTATGCAGTGTTCCAATAAACAAATAAAACCTACAGCACTGTGTGAGTGTCACTGCAAATGCTCGGTGAGATGCATTAATCCCTGAAGAGTGTACAAGTCTCCATGAGAAGTCTGTCTCAGTTGGACTTGCTGAACAGAGCTCACAGTGTGAAGCAAGAGTGCTGAAGGCCCAGAGGTCCAGTCTAAGGAGGCGGTGAAGCCACATGGCTTACTTGGAGAAAGGGTGAGACCTCTAGCGGGTCTGGCACACTGAAGGGAGTCTTCCTAGTGACCATTCCAAACCTGGGGCCATGGCACCAATCATGTGGATCTGTGACACTAGGTATTTGTCATTTATTCAGTTTTCAGGTAACGAAAGCAACATGAGAAGTCTTAAGACTTTTTGTAGCTTATATAACTCTCATGAAGGAGAACTAGGGCTGTCAAGCAATTAAAAAAATTAATTGCGATTAATCGCACTGTTAAACAACAATAGAATACTATTTATTTTAAATATTTTTGGATGTTTACTACATTTTCAAATATATTAATTTCAATTACAACACACAATACAAAGTGTACAGTGCTCACTTTATCTTTATTTTTTGTTACAAATATTTGCACTGTAAAAAACATTCACCTCATACAAGTACTGTAGTGCAATCTCTTTATCATGAAAGTTGAACTTACAGATGTAGAATTATGTACAAAAAAACCTGCATTCAAACATAAAACAATGTAAAACTTTAGAGCGTACAAGTCCACTCAGTCCTACATCTTGGTCAGCCAATCACTCAGACAAACAAGGTTGGTTACAATTTGCAGGAGATAATGCTGCCTGCTTCTTATTTACAATGTCACCTGAAAGTGAGAATAGGTGTTCGCATGGCACTGTTGTGGCTGGCATTGCAAGATATTTATGTGCCATATGCGCTAAAGATTCATCTGTCCCTTCATGCTTCAACCACCATTCCAGAGGACATGCTTCCATGCTGATGATGGGTTCTGCTTGATAATGATCCAAAGCAGTGTGGACTGATGCATGTTCATTTTCATCATTTGAGTCAGATGCCACCATCAGAAGGTTGATTTTCTTTTTTGGTGGTTTGTGTTCTGTAGTTTCCGCATCAGAGTGTTGCTCTTTTAAGACTTCTAAAAGCATGCTCTACACCTCGTCCCTCTCAGTTTTTGGACGGCACTTCAGATTCTTAAACCTGGGGTCGAGTGCTGTAGCTATTTTTAGAAATCTCACATTGGTACCTTTTCTGCATTTTGTCAAATCGGCTGTGAACGTGTTCTTAAAACGAACATGTGCTGGGTCATCATCCGAGACCGCTATAACATGAAATATATGCAGAATGCAGGTAAAACAGAACAGGAGACATACAATTCTCCCCCCAAGGAGTACAGTCACAAATTTAATTGGCGCATTATTTTTTTAACAAGCATCATCAGCATGGAAGCATGTCCTCTGGAATGGTGGCCAAAATATGGAAGGGACATATGAACGTTTAGCATATCTGGCATGTAAATACCTTGCCACGGCAGCTACAAAAGTCCCATGCGAATGCCTGTCCTCACTTTCAGGTAACATCGTAAATAAGAAGCAGGCAGCAGTATTTCCCGTCAATGTAAACAAACTTGTTTGTCTTAGCGATTGGCAGAATAAGAAGTAGGACTGCATGGACATCCGAGGGTGCTAAAGGAGTTGGCGGATGAGATTGCAGAGCCATTAGCCATTATTTTTGAAAACTCATGGCGATCGGGGGAGGTCCCGGATGACTGGAAAAAGGCTAATGTAGTGCCCATCTTTAAAAAAGGGAAGGAGGAGGATCTGGGGAACTACAGGCCAGTCAGCCTCACCTCAGTCCCTGGAAAAATCATGGAGCAGGTCCTCAAGGAATCAATTATGAAACACTTAGAGGAGAGGAAAGTGATCAGGAACAGTCAGCATGGATTCACCAAGGGGAAGTCGTGCCTGACTAACCTAATTGCCTTCTATGATGAGATAACTGGCTCTGTGGATGAGGGGAAAGCAGTGGATGTGTTATTCCTTGACTTTAGCAAACCTTTTGATACGGTCTCCCACAGTATTCTTGCCGCCAAGTTAAAGAAGTATGGGCTGGATGAGTGGACTGTAAGGTGGATAGAAAGCTGGCTAGATCGTCGGGCTCAACGGGTAGTGATCAATGGCTCCATGTCTAGTTGGCAGCCGGTTTCAAGCGGAGTGCCCCAAGGGTCGGTCCTGGGGCCGGTTTTGTTTAATATTTTTATTAATGATCTGAGGATGGAGTGGACTGCACTCCCAGCAAGTTTGCCGATGACACTAAACTAGGAGGCGTGGTAGATACACTAGAGGGTAGGGATCGGATACAGAGGGACCTAGACAAATTAGAGGACTGGGCCAAAAGAAACCTGATGAGGTTCAACAAGGACAAGTGCAGAGTCCTGCACTTAGGACGGAAGAATCCCATGCACAGCTACAGACTAGGGACCGAATGGCTAGGTAGCAGTTCTGCAGAAAAGGACCTAGGGGTCACAGTGGACGAGAAGCTGGATATGAGTCAACAGTGTGCTCTTGTTGCCAAGAAGGCTAACGGCATTTTGGTCTGTATAAGTAGGGGCATTGGGAGCAGATCGAGGGACGTGATCGTTCCCCTTTATTCGACATTGGTGAGGCCTCATCTGGAGTACTGTGTCCAGTTTTGGGCCCCACACTTCAAGAAGGATGTGGAAAAATTGGAAAGAGTCCAGCGGAGGGCAACAAAAATGATTAGGGGTCTGGAGCGCATGACTTATGAGGAGAGGCTGAGGGAACTGGGATTGTTTAGTCTCCAGAAGAGAAGAATGAGGGGGGATTTGATAGCAGCGTACAACTACCTGAAAGGGGGTTCCAAAGAGGATGGAACTCGGCTGTTCTCAATGGCGGCAGATGACAGAACAAGGAGCAATGGTCTCAAGTTGCAGTGGGGGAGGTCTAGGTTGGATATTAGGAAACACTATTTCACTAGGAGGGTGGTGAAGCACTGGAATGCGTTACCTAGGGAGGTGGTGGAGTCTCCTTCCTTGGAGGTTTTTAAGGCCCGGCTTGACAAAGCCCTGGCTGGGATGATTTAGTTGGGAATTGGTCCTGCTTTGAGCAGGGGGTTGGACTAGATGACCTCTTGAGGTCCCTTCCAACCCTGATATTCTATGATTCTATGACTTGTAGGCTTTAAAGTTTTACACTGTTTTGTTTTTGAGTGGAGTTATGTAAACAAAAAAAATCTGCATTTGTAAGTTACACTTTCACGATAAAGAGACTGCACTACAGTACTTGTATGAGGTGAATTGAAAAATACAATTTCTTTTGTTTATCATTTTTATAGTGCATATATTTGTAATTTAAAATAATAATATAAAGTGAGCACCGTGCACTTTGTATTCTGTGTTGTAATTAAAATCAATATTGAAAATGTAGAAAAAAATCCAAAAATATTTTATAAATTTCAATTGGTATTCTATTGTTATAAGTGCAATTAATTTTTTTGAGTTAATCGCATGAGTTAACTGCAATTAATAGACAGCCCTAAGGATAACCAATATTTTTCCCATGTGGGGAAGACCCTTATAGCCTGAATCCTGCCTGGAGCTTACAATGGAAGTTCATATATATTTCAACTGCAGTATCACAAACAGGAAGTTATAATGTAATAAAATTTTATGATATGGTAAAGTGCCAAATATAACACTAGACTTGATTTCCTAAACAAATTTTTTTTTAAACTTAAAAAGATAAAATTTCAACAAAATCACTAGCCTGAGGAGATCTCTTTGAATGATTAAACAGCGTAGATAATCAGCCATTTTTTTTTGCATTAATGCCAATCGTAACCACGCCCGGGCACGGCCCAATGGTGTTCTGAAAAGAAAAAAAAAATTAGTCAGGATACAGCTGCACATCAATTAGTCTTATTGCTTTCATGAATCAGTTTGTTAATACACAAATTCAGATTTTAAAGGTATTTTAAGTTATTATTTGAATAACACTCAATAATCAGTTAAGATACAAGGCACAATTATCTATTTTTCTTTAAAAAAAAAAAACCACTCTCATTGGTTAGTATAACTATTAAAACATGCTGATTTGGAACCAAATATAGCCTTTACATTACATTTGGTACTTTTTATTTTTTAGCTAAGAAGGAGACTATACTATATTTACATATATATATATATATTATTATACATTTACTCATTCTTAATGTTTACATTCTTATGTTAGAAAATGGTGAATTACATTTCTTATTTACTAGATGTTAATTTTTTACTCAGGATTTGTGTTAAGTTGCATTTGGAAAACTGGAATTCAATTAAAAATGTACAAAACAAGCATTTTGCATTTTTTATTAGTTAAATAAATCTACCTTCAATGTTTCAGAATAGACTTTTTTTCCTTGTGTATCTAAACATGTTTCATTTAAAACTAACTGATTTATTAGACAAAGGGACCATTAACTCAAGTCATGTCATAACAGATTTTTCACAGGATTAGTGGTATTAGTGGAATCGGTGGGAAGGTATACGTGAGGTGATTCATCCAGGGTAGCAGCAGGGTGTTGCCCTTCAAGCCAGGGCCCAGAACTGCCCTAGAGCAGTACAGGAATAGTTTCTTGTTCTCCTGCAAGGCAAAGAGATCCCAAGACAGTGTTCCCCACTGGGTGAACATCTCATTCAAAACAGAATCATGGAACTCCCATTCATGATCTGTGGGAAAACATCTGTGGAGACTGGCTGCTGGGGAGTTCTGCGCACCTGGTGGGGTATACTGTGAAGAGGGTTATGTGGTTTCTGATACACCAATTCCAGAAACAACTGCACACGAGTGGACCAATGGACACTGCCTACTAAAAAAATCTCCGGATTCAGGGACATTGTGCACATGTGTACCCACGTGCGGAATACACAAAAGAACTATCACTTGAAGAAGCAGCATATCTTGCTTCAAGAAAAACCTGCTTTTCACCTTTTCTGGTGACCAGGCCCTAAACATAATGTATATACATAAGTCCTTACACAATATCAGTGCATACATGTTGCAATATTGATAACAAATGTGACACTGGCTTTCATTTGAGTCTTCACGTGACACACTTTGGTGAACTGGAATGTATAGGTCAGATCCACGAGACCTCTATAACCTCTCTGCACCCTCTTGCAAGCTGGCATTAAGAGGTTCTCGGGGGAGGGATAGCTCAGTGGTTTGAGCATTGGTCTGCTAAACCCAGGGTTGTGAGTTCAATCTTTGAGGGGGCCACTTAGGGATCTGGGGCAAAATCAGTATTTGGTCCTGCTAGTGAAGGCAGGGGGCTGGACTCGATGACCTTTCAAGGTCCCTTCCAGTTCTAGGAGATAGGATATCTCCATTAATTTATAATTTAATTTATTTATATCACTCCACGTCCTTTAAGTTTTCACAATTACTAGATCTCATCTTCTCCCAACCTGTTTTTCTCCCCATTGATTGGAAGACAAAAAACAAGCTTTCCTGCTTTTTCATCTCCCAGTCCGTTTCTCAATTTTGAATGAGCTTGTCCAAATGAAAACAAATTTTCTACACCTGCTAACTAAAACTAAAACCACAAGTAATTAAGGCAAAAGCTTTTCTACATAAGCTGAAAGTATTTACATTTAGAAGTATGTAAATACCAGCATTCACTCCATTGAAAAGACTGAAAATAATACAGATATTTAATGAAGTACACAACATTGTGATATATTCATAAAGCTTAAGTTAATCTCAGAAGTTAAATATGTTTTCCTCCTAATTCTGTATATACTTAAAAATGCACCACTCCTTTTTAACTCACTACAACTTGAGGAGGGCTCATTGATGTAGCTTTTTATAATTTAAAATTATTTTAATAGACTACGATAATTTTAGGCCTTAATATAGGTTGTCATAATAAATTTAATTTTAAACATTTTTTCCAAAAGAAAAATGTATTTAAGTAAAAAATCCAATTTAAAACAAAAAATTTACATTACTGATTTTATCCACCTTGTAACTAGAAATGTTTTCCTGGATTTATTTTTGAAAATATTTGAAGGAAAATAGTTTTTGTTTGGATGCCAACATTTTCCAGCAGTGTTTGCAACCCAAACAGTGCAGTACTGTGATACCGCATGGGAATCAGAGAGTGAAAACAACCACCCTACAAGCAAAGCACTGTGTAGAAAGTAAAAAACAACAAAAACCAAAATGGTAAAATATAATTTCTTTTTTATTGGTTAAGTACTAATACTAACACAGGGAAGAAAAATAGATGATTCTTAATCTGACAGTGTCCTTTTAAAAATGTTTACAATAGAAGTTCAAAAAAATTATTTTATTTAGAAAAAATTGGAGAATATCTTGAAAACAGGCTCATCAAGAGAAATTTAGAGCCCAGGTACATCAAGTTTGCTGGGGGCCCATCCCCTTCCGTTTTCCCCCAGTTACAGAAGTTTGGGGTGCCCCACAGGTTAGAGCCTTCGTACAATTGTCAACCCTTGTCCCCGAAATTTTCAGCCCTGCTCTCAAATCCTCACGAAGTCAGGAGGGTTTGAGAGAGAAGCATGTGGACACCCACTACCAAACTGTGCAGGGAGGTCCAGTTCTTGCAAACTGAATCCTATAAATTTTGCACAGCTCTGTCTTTAGATAGATATCTTTTTCCAAGATAGTTTTACTAACATAAAGGTGGGTCCCAAACACTGAACAAAATGCAAAGAGACTGAATATATAACTGACTGGGAAACTCTGTTAGAAGCTATACATTTCCTAGCATATGAAGCAAACTAAATTGCATCACTGAGAGTCACTGCAATGGTCTAGTGACTGTGCTGTTTGCCACAATATGAGGATTAGAGTTACATCCTCCAGCTGATGCCATGGAAGCATCATGTACTTGAAATAAGGCTAGCGGTAAACAAATAAACTTGAGGATTCCAAAAGACATCAGCACACCAAAAAGAATAAAACATTTACAATACTGTCTCAATCACCTTATTTTTCCCCCCAATAATTAGATACTAGCAACACTGGCTGATATCAAATACATCATATTTGATGCTGGAAATAGAGATAAGATTTCATTTAACGTCTGATCAAGCTAAGAATGGGAAGGCAGGCAGATTACTGTTCACTAGTTAACCTACAAGACAGTCTTTGTTATACTATTTTTATGCAACATTTGGAAAATTAGTACAACTGAGACATAAGGATATTACCTTTGCGGGTAGCATGGGCTGTTATAGCAGGGATAAAGAAGAGACAAGACAGAACTGGGAGGGCTAATCAAATCAGTATCTTAGATGTCTGTATACTAATGTGAGAAGTATGGGGAATAAGCAGGGAAAAACTTGAAATGCTAGTAAATAAACACAACTATGACATAGTTGGCATCACAGAGTCCTGGTAGGATAATATGCATGACTAGAATATTGGTATAGAAGGGTATTGCTCAGGAAGGACAGGCAGGGGAAAAGGAAGGAGGTGTTGCCTTATATATTAAAAATATATACACTTGGACTGAGGTTGACATGGAAATAGGAGACAGACCTGTTGAAAGTCTATGGGTAAGGATAAAAGGGGTAAAAAAACAAGGGTGATGTCATGGTAGGGGTCTACTACAGATCACCTAACCAAGAAGAAGAAGTGAATGAGGCTTTTTTTAAACTAACAAAATCATCCAAAGCACAGGATTGGTGGTGATGGGGGACTTTAACTACTCAGATGTCTGTGGGGAAAATAACACAGCAGGGCACAGATTATCCAATAAGTTCTTGGAATGTATTGGAGACAATTTTTTATTTCAGAAGGCAGAGAAAGCTACTAGGGAAGAGGCTGTTCTAGATTTGATTTTGACAAATAGGTAGGAACTGGTTGAGAATTTGAAAGTGGAAGGCAGCTTCGGTGAAAGTGATCATGAAATGATAGAGTTCATGATTCTAATGAATGGTAGGAGGGAGAACAGCAAAATAAAGACAATGGATTCCAGGAAGGCAGACTTTAACAAACTCAGGGAGTTCGTAAGTAAGATATCATGGGAAGCAAGTCTAAGGGGAAAAACAACTGAAGACAGTTGGCAGTTTTTCAAAGAGACATTATTAAGGGCACAAGAGCAAACTATCCCAGCGTAGGAAAGATGGGAAGTATGGCAAGAGATCACGCTGGCTTAACCAGGAGATCTTCAAGTATCTAAAAATCAAAAAAAGAGTCCTACAAAAAGTGGAAACTAGGTCAAATTACAAAGAATGAATATAAACAAATAACACAAGTATGTAAGGACAAAATTAGAAAGGGCAAGGCACAAAATGAGATCAAACTAACTAGAGACATTAGGGTAACAAGAAAACATTCTACAAATACATTAGAAGCAAGAGGAAGACCAAGGACAGGGTAGGCCCTTTACTCAATGGGGTGGAAGAGGGGGGAAATAACAATAGAAAATGTGGAAATGGCAGAGGTGCTTAATGACTTCTTTGTTTCGGTTTTCACCAAGAAGGTTGGTGGTAATTGGACGTCTAACATAGTGAATGCCAGTGAAAATGAGGTAGGATCAGAAGAGGCTAAAATAGGGAAAGAACAGGTTAAAATTTACTTAGACAAATTAGATGTCTTCAAGTCATCAGGGCCTGATGAAATGCAACCTAGAATACTCGAGCTGACAGATGAGATATCTGAACCATTAGTGATTAGCTTTGAAAAGTCATGGAAGACGGGAGAGATTCCAAAAGACTGGAAAAGGGCAAATATAGTGCCCATCTATAAAAAGGGAAATAAGGACAACCCAGGAAATTAGACTAGTCACTTTAAGTTTTGTACCCGGAAAGACAATGGAGCAAATAATTAAGCAATCAATTTGCAAACATCTAGAAGATAATAAAGTGATAAGTAACAGTCAGCATGGATTTGTCAAGAACATATTGTGTCAAACCAACCTGATAGCTTTCTTTGACAGGGTAACAAGCCTTGTGGAAGCAAGTAGGGGAGAAGCAGTAGACATGGTATATCTTGACTTTAGTAAAGCTTTCGAAACTGTCTCGCATGACCTTCTCATAAACAAACTAGAGAAACGCAGCCTAGATGGAGCTACTATAAGGTGGGTGAAAAACTGGTTGGAAAAGCATTCCCAGAGGGTTATCAGTGGATCACAGTCATTCTGGAAGGACATAATGAGTGGGGTCCCACAGGGATCAGTTCTGGGGCTAGTTCTGTTCAACATCTTCATCAACGATTTAGATAATGGCATAGAGAGTACACTGACAAAGTTTGCAGCCAATACCAAGCTGGGAGGGGTTGCAAGTGCTTTGGAGGATAGGATTAAAATTCAAAATTATCTGGACAAACTGGAGAAATGGTCTGAAGTAAACAGGATGAAATTCAATAAGGACAAATGCAAAGTACGCCATATAGGAAAGAACAATCAGTTGCACACATACAAAATGGGAAAAGACTGCCTAGGAAGGAGTAATGCAGAAAGGGATCTGGGGGTCATAGTGGACCACAAGCAAAATATGAGTCAACAGTATAATGCCATTACAAAAAAAGCAAACATCATTCTGGGATGTATTAGCAGGAGTGTTTGTAAGCAAGACACGAGAAGTAATTCTTCCGCTCTACTCCTCGCTGATTAGGCTTCAGCTGGAATATTGTGTCCAGTTCTGGGCGCCACATTTCAGGAAGGATGTGGACAAATTGGAGAGTCCAGAGAAGAGCGACAAAAATGATTAAAGGTCTAGAAAACATGACCTATGAGGGGTTTGTTGAGTCTGGAAAAGAGAAGGCTGAGAGGGGACATGATAACAGTTTTCAAGTACATAAAATGTTGTTACAAGGAGGGAGAAAAATTGTTTTTCTTAACCTCTGAGGATAGGATAAGAAACAATGGGCTTAAACTGCAGCAAGGGAGGTTTAGATTGGACATTAGGAAAAACTTCCTAACTCTCAGGGTGGTTAAAAGCACTGGAATAAATTGCTTAGGGAGGTTATGGAATCTCCATCACTGGAGATTTTTAAGAGCAGGTTAGACAAACACCTGTCAGAGATGGTCTAGATAATACTTAGTCCTGCCATGAGTGCAGGACACTGGACTAGATGACCTCTCAAGGTCCCTTCCAGTCCTATTCTTCTATGATTACCAACACAATAAAAGGCATTTCATTTTTAAAGTATTTAGCTTCTTCAATGTGAGAAAGGTTCTTCTTCTAAATTCTCTCAACACAGTATCTAAAATCCAAGTACTACTTTTGCCACAATATATTTTGCTCTTTAAGGGTCTGAGCCCTTCCATTGACTCTAATGGGCACTGGATCAGGCCCTAAACCTTTATGGCAGCAAATGTTATGTTTTTACCAACACTACTCACTTGAGGCCAGGTAAATCTCTGACGCTAGCTGCTATCTCCTCAGCTTCTGGGTACAACTTCTCCACAAGTTCCAGTGGGCCCCAGATTGTTTTATTGTAACTTAGAAAAGATTTTCTTACTAAGAAAAGGAAAACAAAATAATTTAGTTGACAATTTAAGTTATTTAGCTCACTCTCTCACAGAGTTCACAACAGCATACCTGGGTTAGAAATTGTCTACATAAATTGTTTTAAAATACTGTACTGTGAATATAAGTATTTATATAACAAGCTTTGATTAACCTTTAAAAATAAGTCACAGTGGTTTGGGAATTTCTAAAAAGAATCTTATAAAGTAGCAATTCTGTTTTCATGTTTGAAACAGGTCTGCTGAAGCGTAACCATGTCAATGTAAGAGTAACAGTGAAATTAAAGCAAGATATAAGTAACATGCATTTGATCCTGGTAACTGATAAAACATATATAGTCACTTAGGGGTATCTTACAAAGAAGAAAAAAGTGTAAGTGTGTAAAATATTTTTGTTATGATTATTAGTACTTCATAAGAATGGCCATACTGGGTCAGACCAAAGGTCCATCTAGCCCAGTATCCTATATTTAGACGGTGGCCAATGTCAGGTGCTCCAGAGGGAATGAACAGAAGAGGTAATCATCAAGTGATCCATTCCCTGTCGCTCATTCCCAGCTTCTGGCAAACAGAGGCTAGGGACACCATCCCTGCCCATCCTGGCCAATAGACACTGATGGACCTATCTTCCATGAATTTATCTAGTTCCTTTTTGAACCCTGTTATAATCTTGGCCTTCACAACATCCTCTGGCAAGGAGTTCCACAGGTTGACTGTGCGTTGTATGAAGAAATACTTCATTTTGTTTGTTTTAAACCTGCTGCCTATTAATTTCATTTGGTGACTCCTAGTTCTTGTGTTATGAGAAGGAGTAAATAACATTTCCTTATTCACTTTCTCAACACCAGTCATGATTTTATAGATCTCTATCATATCGCCTATGAGTCATCAAGTAGTAACTGAACCATCAAGTAGTAACTGAACCAACGAGGGGGGATGCAATTTTAGATTTGGTGCTGGTGAGTGGTGAGGACCTCGTTGAGGAAATGGTTGTAGGGGACAACCTTGGCTCGAGTGACCATGAGCTAATTCGGTTTAAACTAAATGGAAGGATTAACAGAAATAAAACTGTGACTAAGGTTTATGATTTCAAAAAGGCCAACTTTAATAAATTAAGGCAACTACTTAGGGAAGTAGATTGGGCTAACATACTTAGGGATCTAAAGGCAGATGACGCCTGGGATTGTTTCAAGTTGAAGTTGCACGAGCTGTCCGAGGCCTGTATCCCGAGAAAGGGAAAACGGTTATTAGGCTGGAGATTTAAACCTAGCTGGATGAGTGGGCGCCTCAAACAGGCAATTAAGAAAAAACAGAAAGCGTACAAAGTATGGAAGGGGGGAGGGATCAGCAAAGAAACCTACCTTATTGAGGTCAGAGCATGTAGGGATGCAGTGAGAAAGGCCAAAAGCCGTGTAGAGTTGGACCTTGCGAGGGGAATTAAATCCAATAGTAAGAGGTTTTATAGCCACATAAATAGGAAGAAAACAAAGAAAGAGGAAGTGGGACCGCTGAAGAATGTAGATGGAGTGGAGATTAAGGATAATTTAGGCATGGCACAATATCTAAATGAATATTTTGCATCGGTCTTTAATAAGGTTAATGAAGGGCTTAGGAATAGAGGGAGCAGGACAGAGGGGAATAAAGGAGGGGGGATTGACATTACAGTATCAGAGGTGGAAGCCAAACTTCACCAGCTAAACGGGACTAAATCGGGCGGACCGGAGGATCTTCATCCTAGAATATTGAAGGAACTGGCACGAGAAATTGCGAGCCCCTTAGCGATAATTTTTAATGAATCTGTAAACTCGGGGGTGGTACCGTTGGACTGGAAAATAGCTAATGTGGTTCCTATTTTCAAGAAGGGGAAAAAAAGTGACCCGGGTAACTACAGGCCTGTTAGTTTAACATCTGTAGTATGCAAGGTCTTGGAAAAAATTTTGAAGGAGAAAGTAGTTAAGGACCTTGAGGTGAATGGCAATTGGGACAGATTACAACATGGGTTTACGAAAGGCAGATCGTGCCAAACCAACCTGATCTCCTTCTTTGAGAAGGTAACAGACCTTCTAGATAAAGGAAATGCGGTGGATCTAATATACCTCGATTTTAGTAACGCGTTTGATACGGTACCGCATGAGGAATTATTGGTTAAATTAGAAAAGATGGGGATCGATATAAAAATCCAGAGGTGGATAAAGAACTGGTTAAAGGGGAGACTGCAGCGGGTAGTACTGAAAGGTGAACTGTCAGGTTGGAGGGAGGTCACCAGTGGGGTTCCTCAAGGTTCGGTT